TTTTCTCCTGCTTGTTTCTCTTTTCTCCTGCTTGTTTATTTTTTCTCTTGCTTGTTTCTATTTTCCCATGCATGCAATTCATTCCCATGCATGCAATTCTTTTTTCTCTCACTTGTGTGTGTGTTTTTTTGCTCTCAATTTTATGAATAATATGAATTAATTGGCCACAGAAACAAATGAGAGAATCAATGAAGAGAAGCCAACCAAGAAAGTTTGCAATAATTTTCTACCATCCTGTTATTGTTAATGACTGTTTCCACTTGGTGAGCTGTTTTTTTTCTTCCTTGGAGAGATGTGAGTTAGTCTTGCTGTATGTGTCTGTGCTGAGTTGTTGATCCTCATGGGGTTTACTCTCTGGATTTGATCAGATATAGGTGAGTTGAAGAGGAATGGATTGAGGGTACTCAATTGCGTCTGGGAGGCAAGCCTCAGAAGTTAGCAGGTGCTCATGGTTTTGAGTGCCCCCAGCAATTCTTCTGGGGGGGGGGGGGTTCCCAGGACCATTGGAGTGCAAAAAAAGCAACCTGGGCCACAGAGATGCTCTCCGGGACTGAACAACCACAGATCTAAGATTGAAGATGTAGCAACCACGGGTGGGTAGAAAGACTGTGTGGGTTGCTATTGTGGGCTTGTAGCAACTCAATTTAACCTCTTGTGGGAGATATATGCTCTTACACATTTTGGAGAGCAGGATTGCACAGAATTGATATGTAGAATGAAATCCAAAAAATATCATGGTCCGACATGATATCTGTATGAGGGATATATAAACACATTTCTTATAAGTGAGACAACATAGAGAAACATTAACTGTGTGAAAGTATAAATGCCCAAGTAAGTGTTTTTGGTCCTCACTATGTACATATGTAGTATAATTTATAAACTTGAGAATTTGGCAGGGGAAGCAAAGGGAGATCATGTTGTGATTCAGGATGGGGCAATCCAAGCCAGAAATACCTGGGACAAAAGAGTGGCACATCTGTGTGAGTGGAAGGGCCAGTATCTTCACAGCTACTTCTCAGCTGATAGTGATAACACCCCCTCCACGCTTGATAGTTCCATAGCAACAATCAGTTGCTCTGAGTAATTTGTCCAAGTCTCCCCATTTCCACAGCTGTAGCTGCTTTCATATATTTTAGCCCTCCAGGCTCCAGTGAACACTCTGCATTTCCTTCTTCTCCAGAAAACCTCAAGCTGACAAGGTAATCCTCAGACCATTGGTAGATTTCTTTCTCCCCAATGTTCTTATCCAGTTTACCTTACACAAAACAATAGCACAATTTTTTCCATTCATAACAAACCAATCAAGATGTTATATGTTGCATTGTCAAAAACCTCAAGGATTTTTGTTTTGACTTGAGGGAAAAAGTTGGATATCAGATGGATATTGGATGACCTTCTGGTCTTCCAAGCTCCCCCCTCTGTTTTGATCATATTTATGACACTTGATGACAAACAAGCATTGCAATCATGGTGAGTTCAAACTTGACTAAGGAATCTCCAAGACTGGATCCATCTGGCCTTCTGTTTGTCCAACTTGTGTACCACATTAAACATACCACTGATCCCAAAAAACAATCATGGTTGTTAAGATGATATGCTTATATATTTATTATAGTATGCTTAAACCATAACACAGACAATCTTGTATATATTCTATACTAGATTGTCCCTGGAGTTTCCTTCCTTAGTGAATCAGAACCTTTTCATTCTCCCTCTCAAAGTGTCACTGGTCTGTCAACCATGAACTGGGTTCTTCATCTTGCCTCCCCTGCAACAATGGTCAATTCATGATTCCTGATCCAACACCTGTCTGACTTTTCTGTGCACTCAAGACTGTTGGAGATAATTGGATCCCCTAGAGATAAGATACATCCTCCATGGAGCTCTGACTCAATGGACACATGTCTACTTGGAATCTCACAACCCACCCTACTATCCACACCTCCCATCAGACCTAAATATCCCTTGAGATAAGCAAGAATCAAAACAAGATGAAAGATGCATACACAGACAGAAATAACTACATACTTATAATAATGTTACACAGCAAATTACTTATGGTTATCATGGATTATTTGGGTCGTGGTAGTAATGATCAGGAAGGAATGGATAAACTGGAAGGAAGAAAAATAGAATATAATGTAAAATAATTTTAATTGTCAATATGGTCAAGTAAATTATTATTTTCCTTGATTTTTTTTTTTGAAAAAAAAAACTGCAATTATTGACAGTTTTGAGGGCAATGAATTTCTGTTTGGAGTATATATATGTTGAATGTATATGTACTGAGATATATATATATGTTTATATATATATATTATATGTGTTTGAGTATGAACTGATATAGAAACCCTCCTCTTTTCATTTGATTATCAAGCAATTAGTAGTGCAAACTTGCCAAACTCGCTCATCCCCCACATACACCATAGACAAAGAGGGAAAGCAGCAAAGAGAAAGAAAAAGAAAACAATAATGATAAGAAAATGCTAGAAGGGCAGGGAGCTAAAAAGGAAGGTACAAATTATGAAGCCGGGCCGGGGGATTTTTGTTTATCAAGGACTACTGGATTTTGGAAAGAAACAACTTGTCCATCTTCTGATCTGTTATTGAGTCCACCCGTCGAAGCGCGTCGAATCTGAGCTCGTGATTTGCCATCCTTAGGGTCAGTGCTTTCAGCTTGAGAGTGATCCGATTCAGGAGCACCCCAAATGGAACGAGAGCCAGCGTTCCATAAGGCCCCAACAATCACCTTGGCGGTCTCAACTATATCAGCGGCCCGACTGATCACTCCATTATTCTCCGATTCATCCCTGGGCAGATCTTCGTCTTCGGGCGATCGGCCTCCATAGTAGTTGCCAAAGCCAAATTCATCCTCTGATGAGCATCGGATCTCGTCCACCGAACCACCACCTCTACTTGTTCCCAAAAACTTCCGATCGTTTTGAGAAAAAGAGGTCCTTCCGATAAATGTTGATGTGCTACTGTCTGAGTTGCACGATCGTAGCGAGGGTCTGGATGGTTGGCGGTCTGGACTTGATCGCGCCATGTTGCGATTGCTAGGTCGTTCATCGGACCACCAAGATACAGAGGAGCTGCTTCCTTGTTTAGAAAGTAGCGAAAATAGTGTCGGAGAGCCAGAGACGATACTTTCGGTATGGGCATTGCTGCTATTACAAGGCCCACAGAGACCTTGTCCCGAGCCATTCAGTTGGGCACTTGCGAGCTTAGGTTCAGAAATGAGGCAAGGGCTCTGATGGAGTGGCAAAGCAGAGGGGCTGGCCTTGTGGGTGGATTCGCTACTATTACTTGTTGATGGCGAGGAGGTCAAGGGTTGAGAGGGCCGGAGGGTCAGGTCATTTACTCCTTTCTCGAGAGGGACTAGTGAAGTGTTGGCCGGAGGGTGAGAATCATCGCCTTCATCTTCTTCTCCAATCGGCACATGGACCAGGGATGATTTGCTATATGATCGACCACCATCATAGCTACTGGGACGGGTGTATGCTCCGACAGGACGATTGAACGGCCGGCTGTTACTACTGACGACTGTATTACTGTTCGATCCGGCTAAAATGATCGAGCTACCGGTTGAACTTAAAGGGGGACTGTGTGTTGGGCTGTAAGAGGAGGGCCGTTTGTCGGTAGAGCTGCGCTCGAAGCTTGAAGCGGAGGAGCCTCGGGATGAGGATCGACCTCGCGACTGTCGGTTAGGATCGTTGGGTAGAGGCGTGTCCGTGTTGTTCGTGTGATTCTCATTGGGTAGGGTGACGAGTGAGGACGAGGATTCATTGCGGGGTGAAAAGGGACTGGAAGAAAGGGATGGAGAGGAAGAGGAATGGGCAGCGGAAGTTTTGTGATTCGACTTTACTTGGGGAACAAGGATGGGGTCCTGTACTCCAAATTTTCCTGGACTGCTAACAGGCGAACTTGAGGACGGAGAAGCCACATGGGTCTTGAGAATTGATCGAAGAAGTGTGCTGTCTAAAAACCGGAACCCATGAGCATTATTGACTTAACAAGCCGACTTTGCTTTCGTCTCCATACCAGGTGGCTGGCTCACCTTCGTTATTGCCAGGTTTCCCATTGATTTCACTGGGGTCTAACCCAGCTTGGAAGGAGGCCAGATGTTGGGACGGCAGCCTCGACATATCGTACTCATCTCCCAGGCCTAGGTCCGGGCCAGAAAAATAATCAAACCCCATTGCGGTGAACTCTTCCGTATCTTCATCATCAGGTGTCGTGACATTCCAATGGTTTAATGAGCTCGAGCTACCGTATTGGATTGGCATGGACGTTAGGTGATCGGCAGATGGTGAGGTAGTGGGAGACGTCAGGACTTTGGATACAGCAACAGGGCCATAGGTTCGGGAGGAATAACTGGAGGAAGTTTGGTGACTATAGACCGGGGTGACATTGGTGGAAGCTTGGGGAAGGGAATTTTGCATGGCATAATCCATCCCAATCGACGCAGACGGTGTGGCTGTAACCGTGTAAGTAGGTCTGGCATACGAGGATTGAGAATTGACACCGGCACAGGGGGGATCCCGGTCGTAGACAACAACAGGACTCGGAGCCGGCAGGACCTCACTACTCTTCAAGGTGGTAGGTGCCATACGGGCAATAGTAAAAGGCTCGCTTGCGGAAGAGCCTGAAAGCGAAGGGGAAGGTCCAGCAGAGGGACCATATGGCTCAGGCATGGTACCGACTGCTGAGGGTGACGTATACCGTTGTGAGACTGCATGAAGGCCTGCCTGGCGGGGAGCCGATGATCGAAAGGTCAGCACGTCGTCATCGTCATCGTCATCATCCTCATCTTCCAAAACATTGGATCCAACCACAGGTTCGCCCGCTCGACCGGGAGGGCGGAGTTGGCTCTTGTTGGCGTAGGAGCCTCGCTCCTCCTCGCTATCCACAGCTATGCATTGTTCGACACGATGTGAGAAGCTGATATGTTTTTTGGGCTTGACATCATCTGGGCCGTTGCTAGCGTGAGAGGAATGTCCACGCATGGCAGAAGTCCGACGGGCAACGTCGCTATCGTCACCGCTTGTCGCTAGATCTGAGCTATCGTAGCCATTGATGATGGTGGGCGAGGATCCTCGGGCAACACCGGCATTGCCTAGCTTGACCAGGGTTGAATCAGAAGATGCATGGGCAATCGATACCCGGGCTCGTTTGGGCTGATCAGGTCGAGCTTTGCCATCTTCGCTTCCATCTTCCGAAGCAGACTCTCCACTTCGAGATAAGCCTACCCCGAGTATCTCGGAAAGGCTACGATGCTTGAGAATTGGCTTGCCGGGTGCCTTGGAAGACCGCATGGACGCAGACGAACCGGGTCGAGAGTTGGCAGTTGAAGGGGGCTGGGAAGGAGGTGTTGACTGAGGCTGACCGTCAAGATTGAAGCGGTCTTGAATTGATGAGATTTTTGCAGGGGGCACCGGGTCCACCGCTGTATGGAGAGGGCCGTAGAGCCAAGTGACGTCACTGTCCTTCAACCTGGATGATGATGGAAATAGTCGGTTAGTCAACGAGCTAGTCAAGCATCCAAGTGAGCCCAACCAACCAATTCAGGGTTTCCGGACTGATTGTCTTGAGGTTGCTGCGTTGCTTGGCCCATGTTCGCCAACTGGCATTCTCTAATCGGACGCCATTAGCCATCTCGTTCTTGTGTCTTGTCATAGCCTTCCAGCTTGTCCAAACGTCGCTCTCGTCCCAGTTGTGACTGAGGTAGTCGACACATCGAGAAGGCAGGCGAGTTTGAACATCGTTATCATCAGGCATCGGAGAGCGTTCATAGGGCAAGAGCGCGCCGGCGAATGAAGGCATCGAGACATTGTACGGATACTGGGGGACAAGAGTGCATGTGGTACTTTGGGGAGCAGGATTACCTGAGGGAGAGAGACAAGTAGGTGTGAGAAGGTGAGATGACATACTGAAGAAAAGAGAGTTAGAAGGGTGGAAAGCGGCATACTTGGGGGAGAGACATTGATGGATGGAGTACGGGCGACCGCGGCCATGATGTCAGGACGAGTCGGAGTGAGAGGATGAGTGAGTGGATTACGTAGTCAGCTTGGTTGATTTGTTGAGAGGTTGTGAGATTTCTCGAGTCGGGCGAATTCAGTTAGTCTGTGGTTGAGGAGTAAGCAGGCAGAGATTAGTAGTTGTTTGGGGGAATGATAAGTAACATTGAGGATGTTGAGGAGGTTGGGATGAAACAGACGGTTGAGATAAGGAAACTATGTGGTTCGGAGGGATGTATACAAAAGAGTTATGTAGCTCCGGGGAGGGCGGAGCAGTGCTGTTGGAGATAGGAGAGGAGAGCCGGGTAGTATGGAGAGGAGCGGGGGTGTGGTTGAGAGATGTATGTATGCAAGATAGGATAGTTAGATCCCAGACTCAAAACACCAATGAGCACCTGTCGACGGGACAAGCCGGAGATTGGGTGTGAATTGTATTACAGGATGATTACAGGCTCGAGGCGATCCGCGGCAAGTTTGAGGAGAGACATGCTATTTATATCCTGAACATCACGTTCGTGAAGTGCGGGGAGGTTGGGGTGGACGATATGTAGGTCTGGGGTGATGGGAGATGAAAATCGAGAGTCAGAGAGGAGGGGAAGAGGGACAGGGTCGAGATCTGGAGGGATCGAGGGGGAGTGTGAGACTGGGGGTGTGGAGGACTGCAGTCTGGAAGTGAAGGCGATGCATGTAAGGGGGTTGGGGGAATAATGTACTCACTCTGAAAGGCAAGGATAAGCTGCAGGAGGCCCGATGGTGCGTGGTTAGAGTGCTGAGATATGCTGTACTTGCGGAATCGGATGGATGGTTGGAGGAGGTTGTGTAAGCTGACGAGCTGGCCGGGCGAAGAGGAGTTGGGCAAGAAGAGTGACAAAAGATCAGAGGTCAGAAAGAGATGTTCGAGGATCTGAAGGGAAAGAGGCAACCAACGAGCTAATCGAAGCCGGCAGAAGGAGTTATTTTTAAAGGGTGTAAGAAGAAGAAGGGGAGAGAATGAGATGGGATCGAAAGTTGTTTTTGTAGGTGGACTCGTGGAGGGACCAAGGAACGAACGGGGCAGGCGGACTGCAGACAGGCGCAACTGAGCCAGTGAGTTTTGTGGTAGACACTTCAACAGAGAGAGAGAGAGGAGGACTAGGGATATGTAGATCGATCCAAAACAAACAGATGTGTGGTTGTACACTTCAAGATAAAAAAAAAAGAGTTGAGATTTGTACAGTTTGTATTCAAATGTGTCAAAAAAACCAATAAAAAAAGAACTGCAGGATTGTCCAAGTCAAGACCAACCTGAACCAATAGACAAATTGGTGAATAGGATGGGGGAGAATGATGGCTGGAGGTGAGAGCTGCTTGGAAAGCGCGAAGAAGCAAGTCGGCGACGAGGTATGAACACGAAGCTGGCAGGGTTTTCCTGCTGTTTTTTTTGTTGTTGTTGCTTGTAGTCTGGCCGTTTCAACCGCGAGGCGTCAAGAATGTAAGCCAGAGGGAGGGGAGTGAAAAGACGAGTGAGAGATCCTCGGGAATCGGGAGACACGACAGATTATTATTGTCTTGCAGCTGAAAAAATCTAACAGAGGAGGGAGCTGTGTCGCGAGGATCTCTCGGGGTCCGAATTTGAAGCTACACACGAAAACCCCAGAAATGCGATGGGATGTGCTATCCCATGCACACACTTCGAGAAATTGGTGCATAAAAAAAATGAAAATACAATTGGAGTGTGGGAGATGCCAAGCTGGAATTGTACCAGAGGCTGTGGGGGTGGGGGTGGGGGTGGAGGTGGGGGGATGTGGGATGTCACCGACACCATGTGAATCTATGTGCATACTACATCCTAAGTCCATACACACAAACACCAAGGAGTCTGGGAGATGTGGAGAGTTTCTCCTTTGTAAAGAAGGATTTTTAATCGCCAACACCTTTACAGCGCCTACATGCTACATACCAGCAGAGCCAAGGCTTCTCCGGCCTGAAAATCGGATGGCTGGGTGGACATACATACATATAGACCATCAGGTGGCCAAAAACCAACGAGTTGCCTTGGTGTTACATGTATGTATTTGCCGTCAGAGTTTATGTAAGACGAAGAATCGTATCGGTAACGCAGTAAGCAGTTGGCTGGAGGCTGATGGCAATGGTGATAAGCAAGCTGCTACGTATTTACGTCCATCCTTTCAAAATTTCACACCTTATCATCGCTTTCTGGTTTCTAGTAAGGGAGCATGTGGGCTTGTGGATAGTCATATGAAACCCCCAACATCGGTTGGAGGTTAACATAAAGATGGGTACGTACACACAATATGCCCATCGTCGAGTCAGGAGGCCATCATCTGCTACACAATTAAGCATCGATGACTTCAGACCGACGATAGTTCAAGAGTCTGGGGTTAGACTCAGGAAACTACATAAATGCAACAAAACTCTGGGGATATGGAACTTGGAAGGGTAAAGGAGGGATACATAGAAGAATTTGGAGGAGATGCGTTAAAGTGTTTTTACCTAACCACTGGAGTCTCGATTCGGTCACGCACGCTCGTTGGCTGTGTGGATTATATGAGGTCCACGGTTGTTGCGGGCAGGTATTGTATTTTTGCAAGTCGAGATACTGGACGAATTGTCTGCATACATATGTAAGAAAAGCCGGGAACGATGTCGAAAGATTGGTACAGCAGCGGGTAACGATACCAACGCTGAGGGGGAATGTCGATGGCAAGAGCTGAACCGCGGGAGGTGCGCCTGGAATGCTTTCGGATCTCCTAACCAAGTAGCCGGCGGAGAAAGAAGCTGCGGGATTAAAACTGCTTGGTATTCTATCAGCAACGTGCATGCGCAAGTTCACCCACAATCTTCCCCAGATATTCTGGAGTAGAAACCAAGACTGGGGAAGGACAGATCTTGTATGTTGTTGATGAGCAGATGGGATGCAGGTCGGAGCAGTGCTGAAATGGCCAAGTTGGGGCTGTAAGGCTATGCGGCGGTGACAGGTGCGGAGAAGGGAGACGGACAGTCTGAAGAGAGTCAGGTCTCGGAGCTGCGATGTCCCGAAGAGGCACTTGCAGGGCTGGAGGACGATTCGAGACGGACCCAAGCAGGCGCCAAGAGAGAATGTGTGAGAGAAAGGGATGGGCAAGACTTACTGGATCGGAAGCTAGTTTTGGTTTGGTTTGGGTGTTTCGTTGGATCGAAGACGGCTGGTTGGTTGGTTGTTCTGAGAAAGAGGGTTGTATTTTTTTTTTCTATAGACTCGTCATTGGACAACAACCCCAGTATGTAGACGCGATCCTTGCTGCTGTAAATGTTAGATGTGTTGAAGAAAACTGGTTGGCCAGGAGTTGAATGAATGAAGGGGACTTCTGTAAGCCAGAGGGGGTTGTCCGGTGGACTTTGATGTAGTTCATGCTCAAGGCTACCGACGTGGGGCCGATTTGGGAAGGTCGAACGAGAGGCAAGAAGATCGGGAGAATCGCGACACGACTTTCTCCAGAGGGAACACCCGGGAGCAACCATCCATCGGTACATGAGCCAACAGATACGAGCATACGTCATCATAGACTGGCCACATTGTTGCGCCAAAAAAACGTCGGTGGCGCCGTGATTTCAATGCTTTTCAATCTGTTGCTGAGTGGCCGTGGGGGTACAACATACATACTTCAAGGATACATCGACGTACATGTTATTTTTGAAGTGTGGAGATAGATTTATGTAATCCGGGGTCGGATGTCCTTGGACTCTGGAGGTCCTTGAGGAAAGGGGTGCAACCTATTGCATCTCTATGATTCTCCTGATTCTCCCCATCATCTACAACAGCGTTCATTCTCGAGCATGTAATTACCTCCTGCGACAATACATGCATGTCTATCATCTTGCAAGTATGAGTAAGCTAGTACTTGAAGCAGGCATCTTCAGGACACTGGCAAACGGTGTTCCACTGTTATCAAACTCCCCTGCAAAAAGGAACAAACTTTGAGCTGAATGATCAATTGTATTTGGCATGCTGAAAAGTACATGCCTGTAGGAAGCCCCAATAAAGTATTTTAACCTGTTGGAGGCATTTCTTTGTCCTTGACTATACTTTCTTGTTCTAAATTCAATGTAGCATCTTTTGATGCATACAGCAGATCTAGATGTGCTTGTGGTTTTTTTACAGAGAAAAAAATCAAAAATTCTTAGCCAAAGAAGAAAAAAAAGTCAACTCCCCAAAAAACCTTTTTTGGCCTATAGAAGAATTTTGAGGGTGGAAGAATCAGAACAACGTAAGTATCTGCTATCACACAGTGAGTGTTCTGGCAAAGAGGGGGGGGAGGGTTCACAATTGAACCTTGGAGCCATTTTCAAGCTGTTTCTGGTCAGCAATTAATATTTTTTTTGGGATGTGCAAAAAGTTCAGAAAACACTGAATCTGAAAAAATCAAGAAAAGAGAATCGTATGCTGCTCAGAAATGCCATAAAAATGGATCTCAAGTTCACTTGTGAACCCCCCTAATTGAATTAGACAATAATTTTCTTTGTTTGACCACACTTTTTTTGTGATGAAAAAACCACAAGCATACCTAGACCTGCTGCAGTACATGTCTGTAGCATGCAAAATGCAATTGAACATTCAGCCCAAAGCTCATCCTTTTTTTCAGGAGAGCCTTGACAGTGGAATGCTGCTTGCCAATGTGAAGGTTTTGCTCCAATTCCTGCACGGCAATTGGAGGACTTCCTGAGCAATCTGGAGCCCCCTTCAGATGTTGATTGGATGCACAAGTCAAGATTGGATGACTTCCCTTCACAATCTACAACCCTCCCAGAAGTCAATTTACTCCCCAAGATCTAAATTGTTGGTCAAAGAAATTGTATTTCAGAAGCCTTCTAGCAATGGCTCTCATGCAAGCTGGCTGTAATATTGATTGGGTTGTAAACATAGGACTTTGAGAGTTCTAAAAAGCACTCTAAATTACAACGGGAAGTCCTCCATTCCTGAAGGGAACAAGGCAATAAATCAAATATATGTAGGGGGTGTGCAGATCTCACCAGGAAATCATACAGTGACTCACAGGAAGGGGATGTATAGAGTAGCCCCACAATAAGCCAAGGCTGATCAGTACCTGAGCTACAAAAACTTCAAATGACCATAGTTACTTGGTGAGAATATGACTGCTATGTGAATGTCTGATGAAGTTTTTCTTGTGATCAATGAGTAGTCTCAAGTGCTGAACATTGATTTGTCCAATCCATATTAGAGCAACTCCACCAAAGGTGGTAAATTGTGCAACTAAACACCGTTTACCACCCCAGCAATACAGGTGCTGTGTGGGGTGTCATATATAATAATTTGGGTCCAATAAATGTATGAAGGCTGAAGATCAACTGATAACTCTTTGTCACCCTTAGTAATGATAATGGGGCAGTCACACTACCAGTATTATTACTTTGTTAAGATAAACTAAACAAAAAAACAATTGGTCTTGAAAGTTGAATACATCCATTCATCAAAAAATCTTGCACTCCACTATTATCTTTTTTTCTGATGCTCATTTTGTGGATTTTGGTATTCTTTAATCTTTGGTGAAACAGAGCAGACTGGCAAGTTTCTTGTTTCCTGTGATCCAGTTATTGCTATAATTTTGACTATGACCAGGTATTGCATGACTGACCATGAGGGCTTGCGAGAAGAAATTATCCCACCCAAGAGTCAATTTTCATATCCTCCCCCACCAACTGTTTTGCTCTTGTTCCCTATGGCATGTTCTGATCCAAGTCATCACCAGATCTAGATACATCTTCTTATTTGGTAGATGACCTTCCAGTAGCCATCCTACAGCTTCCAAAGAAGGAATTCACTTCCATTTCTCAGACTCTCCTTCATTTCCACTCCATTCTCTTCTTTTAGAAGATCTTGTCCTCTGTCTATTTTTATCTTTTTTCATCTACTCCTGTATGTCTCTCTCCAACTCTCTAGCATTTTCTATTGCTTGTATGTATTGCAACTTGTGCCTACAAATACAGCCCTATTGAGAATCAAGATTAAGAGTGCTACATTACTTTGCACTGAATCCAATCAATAGGAAAGCTTGCCTTGTGTGAATAGTGTGATTTCCCAGGCCAAAACCTCCTTTTATGCTTGGCTGTAGGAACCTGATCATCTCTCTTTTCTCTGTAAAGATTCTCTTATACTCCCATTTGCAATTCTTATGAGAGCTTGCACTTGTATGATCTTATGCTCATAATCTACCAAACATGTTTCTCTCAGAACTGCCACATTGCTTTTCTAGAATACTAGTTCATACCTATTGTTCCAGTGTTACTTTTCTGTATCTGTTTTCAATTCTCCACAATAGATGTATGGTGTTCAAAATTGTATGCTTAACCTTTTACTCAAAATTGTATTCTGAAATTCAGGCTAGGAAATGTGAATTTGAGTCTGAATTATGCTGGCAGGTCCCTGTCAAAGATTCCTGTAAGTTTTCATACTAAAGATGTCGTATGAAATTTTGAAAACCATAATGTTAGGTACAGTATACACTGGGTGTGAGTCGCACATAATTCCCCAGGGAATTTTTATTTTTCACCCCAGTAGGTTGAAATGGTGTGATCCCGCTTTTTCATGGCTGTGTATACTCTGTTGTCACTGAGGGGATGTTATTTTCCCCATTGAGGACTAAGGTGGGCTGTGGGCACCAAAATCATGCTTTTAGGGGGGCTCTAAACCTAATAATCATGGGTTCTTGTGTGTTCCTGATTGCATAGGTATGGATTTACAATACCTATGTCCATGTATATTTACTCAGGCTATGGATTTATGTGGCCTGTTTTGAACTGGGCAGGGTGAGAAGAAAAATAAATAAATGATTGGCTGGCTAAAAACCTTATCCCTTTTAGAATTAGAGATGGAACTTTGCACCTGGGCACCTATAGCACATGCAGGTACTACCATTCAATTTGAATCAAGTTGAATACCCGCACCCACACCTGCAACCGCGGGCAGGTGAAGAATTTTTAATAAAATTGCTAAAAACCCAAACTGGACTAAAAAAAGAAAAAATTACAAAGAATAAGAAGTCGGACAAAAGAATTAAGAGATAGATAAAAAGGAAAAAAAAAGAAGAAAGGCTAACCACTAATGATGGAAATAAGATAAAAAATGAGGACTTGAGCTGAAGTAATTAAGAAGGTTTTAAGAAGGAGCCGCTGAGATAAGAACAAGAAAGCAAACAACATGAATAACAAGGTAAGAAATTTAGTGATTTCCTCAACAAACAACAACAGAAAGAATAGAGCAAAGAAGGAGATAAAAATGACAGAGAGGAAAATAACAAACAGCATGATGAGCAATTGTGATGAGATAGAGATTGTTTGTTTGTACTTGGGTACCTGTCCAATTTTTCAAGAAAATAGATACCATGTACTGCACCTGGCACCTCCTGGCGGGTACCGGCGGTACTTTTGGCAGGTACCGCACGTACCTCCCCTCTATTTCTCACCTAGTTTCACTCCCAGAGTCCCAAGTCACTTTCTCATTATTATCATTTTTTCATATTTATTGTAAAATATCAGTCCCAAGTCACTTTTTTATTTTTTGCATATCTATTTTAAAATTATTTTAAAAGAAATATGAAAAAATGAAAATAAAAGTGAAACAATTTGGGACACACTAACAATGAGATTGGTTATTTGGGTTTAGAGGGACTTTGAATAAAAGTGAAAACATTATTTTACAATAAATATGAAAATATGAAAATAAAAGTGAAGCAATGTGGGCAACACTAACAGTGAGGTTGGTTATTGGGGTTTAATGGTCATCAATTGGGATGTTGACCCCCATCAAGGACCGGTCAAAACCAGTCCTTGATGGGGTGTTTCCTCCCATTGGTGACCGGTCAAACGGTCATCAATGGGGTGTTTACTCCCACCAAGGACTGGTCAAAACCGGTCCTTGATGGGGGTGTTTCCTCCCATTGATCACCGGTCAAACAGTCATTGATGGGGTGTTGACTCCCAACAAGGACCAGTTAAGATTGGTCCTTGTGGGGGCGGTACCCGTAGCAGTACCCGGGTACCGCCCCTTTTTTAGCCAAAAAATGGCCCCCCGCACTGCACCCGGCACCGCCTGGCGGGTGCGCGGCGGGTGCGGGCGGTACCCCCCAAGCGGTACTAGGTACCTAGCAAAGGGTACCGACAAACAATCTCTATGATGAGATGTGAGAAAGCTGCCTGACTTGAGAACTTGATGGGTTCTGAATTAATTATTTAGGAGAGAATGTGAGTTGAAAGGGAGTTAGGATTAATGAGAGAGAGGGCAAATGTGAACAAGGAAGACTTTACAGTATCAGGACTTGAGAGTTGATCTTGAATGTTGAGTCTTGCAAATAAAACTTGAGGATCTTGAATCTTGATCAGAAGGTTTATTTGAGATAATGTTGAGTCTGGAGAACAATAAACTGTGGCCAATTAATCTCTTATTCTACTAACAACATGCCACAGCAGTCAATGAACAGGAGACAAGTGTGAGCCATGCATGTGATACTCAGGTCAGAAAAAATCAACAGCAGGTACCTGCGCAGTACTTCAGGTACCTGTTCATGGGTGCCTAGTACCTGCCAATAGGTACTAGGAGTCAGCTCTATTAGCATCTTTCACCCAGGTACCCCTGGTGGGTGCGGGGTACCTGCCTGGAATTCCACCCAGATGGTACACCCACAGCCACACCTGGCACCTTCTGGTAGGTACCTGCACACTGCCACAGACCTGTCCACGGGTGCCTAGTACCTGCCAATCTGTACTAGGGGGCAGCTCTATTTAGAATTGGATTCTACAACCTCCAAAAAGCCCAATTCTATCATCTACACATTATGTAGCACTCATGCATGTAAACATCTGGCCCACACATGAAATTTTATTTTTCAGGCAGGTCTGTACAGTAAGATGCCTTGTGCAACTGTACTGTGCCCATCATCAAGGAAGAGATACTTGTTTTTGACACTGGGACATACCTGTACCAACCACCAAAGGGAAATAGATCCCTGCCAACTGTTGAGAAGGGAATGATCCCTCCTCAATGGCCAATACTTTCCATGAGTGTTGAGACAGGTATCTCCCATCCTTGGCAACTAGGTTTGTACCAGTCATTGAGAGGGAGCTGTTCATTTGATCCCTACTGAAGTCTGGTACACACCAGTGCTTGAATTGGGGGTAGGGGTGAGGATGGGTTGGTTTGGGGCAAAAAAGGTCAGGTTGGGTCACTTTTTCAAAAACTTCCGCCCTGCCCCAACCCAAGACCCACAACTTGGGTCATGGGTCCGCATGGGTCGACCCATGGGGCTACTGTTTTTTTTTTTTTGAGGCAGAGGTTTCTTTTTAGGTGGAGGGTTTTTTCTTGGGGGGGGGGGGCATGATGCCTTCTTCTTTGCATCATTTAATGAGTGTATATATTTGGAGAGAAGGATTAAGAAACAAAGAAAGGTGAATGGAGAATAGAGAATAGAGAAAAATAAAATAAGAAAGACAACTAGATCCATCATCCAGCTACTCTGGTTGTGTTGGAATTTTGTCTCTTCCTTCTCTTCCCTAAAAATACATCTTCCCCAAATTTCATAAATCATTGATTATACAAAATAAAAAATATGTTTTAGCTATGTTGTGTATTTGTCTGAGTGGCATCTTTTCTTGTTATCTAGTGCTGAAATCCCCGTAGTCTTCGAACCTGGGTCTAGTCTTTATTGATGAGTATTTGCTCCTGTCAAATTTTACATGCATATGTTAAACTGTTATTCATTTCTATATTCAAATTTTCTCAACAACATGTTTAACTTGTTGTACGTAGTCTATTTAACGCATAGGCTCTACTAGCAATTAAAAATCATTGGCTCTCACCTTCTTTTCCCGACCCTTGAGTCTTTCCATCAAATATCAATTTTGTTGCCCAAAAAAATCTTCTCTTCTCTGAAAAATCTCCGCCTCTCCGGTCAAAATTTCATCAGGTTGATTGTACTATCATTGTTCATGTCGCAGATTGGGACTTGGGAGTCGTAACTCCTGTGTGTCAATAACTCAACATGCCAGGCAAGTTTCAACAAAAGCATGCATGATGAAACTTGGCCTCTTCATGGGTAGTCCATTTTTGGAAAAGCTTGACCCAACCCACCATGGGTCACCTAGTGGGCCAGCCCAACTGGGTCAAAAAATTGGGAAATCTGGGCTTGTGCCGCCCCACCCCGACCCAGATTCCAGCTGGGTTGGGTCAAACAGTGGGTCAACCCAACCCATCCTCACCCCTACTTGGGGGCCAATGCCGGGCTTGTGCACAGGAGTGCCTGATTCACTCATTGGCCCAGCAGGATTTAGCCACTTTACAAGTCCTGACCCCTGCCTGACAGTGGATGACTTCCTGTCAAAATCTACAACCCTCCCAGAAGTCAATTTACACCCCCTAGATCAACTTTTTCATCAAAAAAACATTTTTCTGAAGCCTTCCAGAAACAGCTCTCATGTGAGCTGGTTGAAATCTTAATTGGAGGACTTCACATTGGATCTGGGACCCTCGCAGAAGTTGATCTAGACTCAAAAAATCTTAATTCTTGCAGAGAAATTTGAATTTCAAGGCTCTAAACCCACTCTGGGAGACCCGCAGATGCTGATGGGAAGTCGTCCATTCTGTTGTTAATTTAGGACTGAGGGAGGTCTAAAAAGCATTCTAAATTGTAACAGGAAGTCCTCCAGTTGTTGAGAGTCATAAACCAATATTTGGGAGTTGTTTTTTTAATCCTCATGAAAAACACATCCATTTTCAACAGTGACACTGTGGAATAAGATATTTTACGTCTGTAGCACATTCCATCCAATATCATCAAGGCTAAGCTTGAGGGCCTCACTGTTATGTATGTCAAAAGCTGTTCTGCCAATCCTTGCACCAGTCATTAAAGGCATGAAAAAATGATACTTGACCAATTGTCACCCATATTGGTAGCTGTATTGGCCCACAATCAATTGCTCCCAGTATGTCTATCCTAGAATCCAATGAGAGAGCTGTATGGGAGTAACTATTGACAGATGATTTTATAAATGAAACACCACAGTTAAAAAAATTTGATCTACATGTTTATTTTAGGTGATCAACTTAGTGTAAAATTTGGATTTCAGGGAAGTATTCCAAATACTAGGAAGTCCTCCAGTTATAAGTTCAGTATATTAAGAACACCTTTGTTAGATACATTCTGGGCGATAAGTTACAGTCTGGGTTTGGAAAAAACCTTGCTAATCAATATGAGCTCAGTGGTGGAAACATTCCTGAGCAGTTCTAAAACTGTGTTACTTACTGGCTCCGTTTTGATGGAAGTGTTACTGGAAGGACATGGAGACCTAAGTGAAGTCGGCTGACTTAGCCGTCTCGGTTATCTGCCCAGTCTCAAAGGGCTCCAGTATGTAAAGGGAAGCGTTATATGGAAAAGTCAATGCTGACTGAGGCGTTTTCGGTCTCTATGGAGTGACGATCATTAACACGACCCTCTTTTTGGGGAATTGTGTGAATGTTGTGCATATCCTTGATCTGTCCCATCCAACTCTGTTTGGCATCCTGAGGCCAAACCGTTTGGGGTCCGGTGTTACATCCAGAGTTGCATTGTAGGTATGATTAAAGAAATTAAGCACCGGCGGTGAAGGCGCTTCTGGATTCTAGGGGAGTTTAGATGAAAGATATGTAGAGAATCAAAGCGATTTAAGGACACATTCATTGACCCAAAACTGATGCAAGCGGGTATCTGGAGATAATTCAGGATGAAACGAAGTAGCAAACAGATGGTTGAATTTGACGGCCACTACATGTGAATCCGGACCTAAACTTTGGCCGGTTTGGGCTGGCGTTCTCGACACACAATCCTGTGGTAAATGAGCAATGATCTGCAGTTTGGAACCGGTTTCTGGCTCGGCTCTTTCTAGAATCGTATGGATCATCGGGGCGCGGATAAAGATCGCTGGGAACGGAGTTTCCGGATTCTTGATGAAGGGGATCTCAATCAGTTGTTCAAACGACTCGGTCTTTCCTCATTTTTATTTCCACATTTAGGGTTTTTTTTATGAATAAAAAGAGAAAGAAGGAAAGAAACAGAGTCAAGTTAGTAGATTGAGGAATGGAATGGAATGCGTCTGGGTGAACGATTGATAGCCCAACGAAAGAAATGAAGCTATCAGATCACGACTCAACTTGACGGCCCCATTGATTCCGGGTAGTTTTGATAGGCAAGCCACCCAAGACTTCTTGGCCACCGGTCTTAGTACCTTCGGAGACCAATTGATCGGACAAGAGGATGAGGCCGGCGCACGTGCCCCAAACGCAGCGATGCTTGGCAAAGCTCTTAAGCCAATCGAGGAACGAATGATTTGAAGGATCGATTTGGCGAGATGCAATGAGTGAGATGGAGGTTGACTCGCCGCCGGGAATAATGAGTGCCTGGCATTGGAGGAGCTCGGTCGACGTTCTCACGGCTATCGCGGTCAGCGGCCGAGTGCTCTGTATCCGTCGGAGATGGATCAGATGCTCCTTGAATGCTCCTTGGAGGGCAAGAACTCCAATCGTCAACGGGGCATCTTCTGGCAGTTGCGGTATTTCCGGCAAATTTCCGGCGGACGTATCCATTATCTAATTGGATCGAGCTGTTCTTCTTTATTTATTTTTCCAATGGAGCAGAAACTTGGATTGGATTAGTGCTCGGGAGACGACTAGAAAAACATCAAGAAGAAGAAAAAAGAAATCTGCTTACCCTACTTCTTTGACCTCGACGACGTTCCGAGTAGTTTTCGCTGAAGATATTGAAAAGTGACTAATGATGGTGGGTGACCAATGAGGTGTTTCCGAAAAACGAAAAATTCTCGGAGATAAAGAAAAAAAAATACTCAGCCTTCCTCCTACCACTCCTACCTGTTTCACCAAAACCATCAGACAAATATAGCACAATCCCAAACTTCAGTAACCTTGCATGATATGCCCCTGGAAATACATACATACGCTCCTTGTTCAGATGAGCATTGGTCTCAAAGCCTCCCAAGAAAATCCGTCCTGCAATAGAAAATCCTTCCCATCCTTGCATGGATAAACATGCTGGCCCAAATTTCGGGCCTACACAATGCGTTTCTGAGACAGACATCATGAGCAACTTCTTTATAAAAAGGGCCAACTGGTGTACATAAATAGATAAAGTTACTTGCAGGGAATTCCTGCCCTCAATTCCATAAATTTCACACTTGTTAAAGCAATCAAGGCAACATCTAAAATGGAGTTTCTGGATTCAAAATCCACTCATGGTCTATAACATATGTAATCAATGTCAAATGTGAGTTTTGCAGAGAGAACTTTTGGCCTTTGCTTTCATTTGACAAATGTGACTGGATGGCTTGAGAATAGTATCACAAGGAAATTATCCCAACAAGGTGACCACGAGTGCATCTCTAGTTTTAGCCACGCTCTTCATGCCCTTCAAGCAGCCAGCCACACTCAGTCACACTCACATTATCCATATAAATATGCATGTCCTTCAAATCCACTCAAACTATGGGGGAAAACCTTTGAAAGTTTCCAACCTTGCCTAGGCTGGTTATACAAATGACTGAGAGCATCCGCATCAGTCGTTAACTTAGCGCGGATTAAGGCACTTGGTCCAGCCTTGCAACCGCACCGGTCCAGATTACGACAGGATCAACTTGACTCAGCTCTCCATTTGGAGCTAGTGGGGTCTAAATCTAGACCTCACTAATCCTGGGAATAAGTCCTGCATGCATATTCAAAAGGCATGAACACATACAAACTAGCTCCAATCAAGTCGGATCAACTGACCTCAAATACATCATAGATTTAAACCACCTCAGCCACCACCGATGCGGCTGGAGGCCGAGATCACCTTAATCTTGTCCTAATCCGAGCTCGCTAATCCAGTGTAACTTGACCACTGATGCGGATGCTCTGAGTGCAATTCTGAATTTTGGCACTTGGAGGGACTGCAGGGTCTTCCAACACAAAAACTCACCACATCCGTATCTATCTAGTCACTCACCCCCTCATTAAACCTATGAACTTACTACAAAGGTCCACAGTCAAGAGGAAAAAAAAAAAAAGGAAAAATTAGGAACCAAGTCAAACATTGGAGGACTTCCCGTCAACATCTGCGGGTCTCCCAGAGCCAGTTTAGAGGCTCGAAATTCAAATTTCTCTGCGAGAATCAAGAATTTTTGGGTCTAGACCGACTTCTGCAAGGGCCCCAGATCCGACGGGAAGTCCTCCATTGGAGGACTTCCTGTCAGATCTGGGACCCTCGCAGATTGTGTTTTAGACCCAAAAAGTCTAGATTTTTGCATGGAAATCTAGCTGATGCGGCTCTAAATCAAAACTGGGAGACCCGCAGATGTCGACAAAAAGTCATCCATTGATGTCAAGAAAAAGATGGTGAGAAAGATCAAATTGAGAAATGTAAGCCTTCCAAATCAATTCATTCAAGGAGAAATTATTGATCAATGAGGATCAAAAACAAACAATTGAAAAGATTGAAAGAAAACAAAAGAAAAGGAAAAGGTAAGGAAGGAAAGGAAGAAGAAAGAACCAAGAAAATGCTCAGATCCTGCATGAATAATAGAGTATGACTTGTTTCACATTATGTATTCTCAACTTCTAGACTCTATCAATTAAAGAAATGAAAAGAAAAAAAAGGGACAGGTTTGACTATGGTCCAAATGTAACTCTTCACAAATGAGTTAGTTTTCTAACGAGTTCTTGAACAGGAAAAGGAGTTGTTTATATCGAAAATGTCGATTTGATGGAGTTTTCGACTCCACTTTTCCCGCTAGAAACCTCGAACAAACCTTGATTACCATCGATGATGATAGTAATTGTTGCCTGGTCGGCTTCTTGTACATTTGCGATGTCAACGTGGGCGATAGCGGAGGTAGGTTTGACGACCAGGATCCGCTCGGGTTCTTCCTCTTCTTCATCATCGTCTTCCTCATCAGCATTCTCCTTCTTAGCAGTTCCGTTTTGGGTCTGGGGACTATCCGTCTTGATGTACGACTCTCCTTGCCAGAGATCGAGCGGCAAGGTGCTGGCCTTTCCGGGGCTGATCTTGGGGATCTTGAAGACCTTCTTGACTGGAAGTGGAGTCAACGCATCTAGCAGAGTGATAAACCGTTTCCCGTCCACCGCGTCGGCTGCCGCTGAGTCACCCGCCGGGAGCAGTAAGCCCAGCGGCTTCGAAAGACACTTCACCTCGAGACAGGTAGACGCTAGAGACGGCTTGAAAGCGGCGGTGAACTCGGGCGAGTCGAGAGGGTAGCGCTTGACGATCAAATCAGCTTGAAGTACACAGCCAATGGCTACCGCCTCGTCGTTCTCGATCGAAAAGTCTACGTTCACGTTGGAATGTAATGCATAGATGAGCTTCTCCTTGATTGCCGGCAGCTTTGTCGAGCCTCCAACAAGGATTGCCTAGTGAAAAAAAGAGGATAGTTTTGAGCCAAAGTATTTTTTATTGATGATTGACATGCAGACAGGTACGTACCTGAGTAATTTCCTCCTTCTGCAGTTTGCTGCTGGCTAATGTGTCGGATACCAGCTGCATGATTTGGGCATATGATTTACTTAATAGTAGATCGCATCTCATCCGGTTGATGCTTCCACTGAAATCGTACCCATCAAACAAGCTATCAACACTGCAGTTAGCCGAATTCGAAGCCGATAAGGTCTTCTTGGTCACCTCGGTGGCGAGTCGTAGTTTGATCGCAGACTTGTGGTTTTTCTCATCTGAGATGTTGAGAGTAGTTTTATTCTTCTTGTTGAATTCTTTGACGAAATAATCCATCAATTGGTCTTCGAAGTGATTGCCTCCCAACTGATGATTGGTAGAGCTGGCCAACGAAATCACCAATCCATTCCGACGAGACATCACCGTCGCGGTTGTAGAGGATCCACCAACATCCAAGACCAGTAGGTTACCATCCGGGCTCGGCTTACCCAATCTTGCGTTTCCCAAGTCAGCAACAACAGCGGTCGCACCAGCTTCGGTAATAAATTGCAGGACCTTCACGTCCAATTTATCTTCTACAATCGATCGCAAGGCTTCGATTTGCTTATCACCGAACCCTTCAGAGACCGAGAGCACGGCTGCATCAGGCTTGCGACCGATGAAATCTTGGGCATACTTCAACAAAGTGCTAAGGTATTTGGTCGCAATATCGGTGACCGTTAGGACTTGCTCGGCGGATCCATCATTGGCTTCTTCCCCGGCACAGGGCTTGATCAGATAAGCAGGCTGGCCATCTTTGTTGATGATCGGCGCAGAGTTGAACAGGGTTTTGGTCTGCGTAGATTTAACCTCATCGTAGCTAGAAGTGAACACGCGGATGCAGATGGAGTCAATACACCAGTAGAGCCTACGACTTGGTCAGGTGACAGACCTTTTGCCCAGTAGGTTCCGAAATCCAACGATTGTATTGGCTTGGTTTCGAATTAATTGCAATCGAGCTGGATTGCCGACATACTTCAAAACCAGAGTGAAGAGAATGGGTCAATCAAATTCAAGTATCCTCATTGAGGAATAGAAGTCACAGTCGATGCAGAAATTGCAAGCTTACTGTTTCACTCCCGGAGAAGGAGATCACGCTAGGTATCTGCCGCTCTCCATCATCGTTGGCAATGCAATCTGCGGTACCGTCCTGATATACAGATAGACAAGAGGGCGTTCAGTGATCTGAATTCTGAACTGTGTACTAGTAGGTCGAAGAACTGACCTTGTTAATCAGAGCGATGCTACTAGCAGTTTGGCCAAAGTTAATTCCAACGATAGCTGGCCCAAGAGGCTTAGATGGCACCGCTTCGAGTGGTGTTCCAGGTGGCTGGGGAGTGTTGACCTTGGAGGGTGCTTTGGAGTTAGCCTTGGAGGTCTGTTGTGACTTCTTCTGGTTCTTCTTTGGCGGCATCTTGAGAGCTGTTTGGATTCAAGCACACGTAAATTTCCAAGTAAAGTTGGCTGGTCGGCTGATGGCGTGTGCGGAGGGGATGGATGGTCTTTTTTTCCCTCCCCCGCCATCTCGATCGCTCAGAGTCAGACCACGGACACGGTGCGCAACACCAACCGCGGCGCAGCATGTCACCCCACAGCGCGACTTTTGCAAGATGGAACTTGTTAAGATTTACTCGTTGTTGGACTCTCCACCTGTGACCTGACCACTTCAGGCTTCAGCTAACGCTCAAAGCACAGAAGGTTACGTGAGGTCAACTAAGCTATAACGTACAGCGGGACTAATTTGATCTAGCGTAGTTGTTGCGCCGTTGAATTGCGATAAAACCCATGATCCTATCTGTCCAAGCCTGGACGTGTCTGATTAAAAAGGGTTCACTTTTTGTATTTCTCACATCTTGTTTAGCAAGCCAATCTCATCGGGCTGAGAAGACCATTCGAGGGGCTCTTCCGGAGTCTCGCTCAGCGAGCCTATGTCAGACCTCAAAGCCATATGCAAGAAGGACAAGATACAAAGCCATGAGAAGCGGGATAGGCCTTTTCCATTTGACTCATAAGATGGCAGAGAGAGAGAGAGAGAGAAAAAAAAATTGATTGACAAACTGCAGTAAAAATCAAATCTACACAAATAAACAAAGAGGGAAAGAAAAGAAGATGGGATGGGTTTTATGTTGAAGGATTAATGACGACGAGCGCTTTTTCCAACATATCTTCGAGCAACATAGGTTCCCAATCCTCACCATCACCATCGACGTTAGGAGGATGAGAGTGCTCAAGGGAAGACTTCTTGGAGTGGTTTTTAACAAAGACGACGTCATCGGAGATTGAGATGATAAGGCCAGAGGAATGTGGGGCGAATTGATTAGAGACTTTGAACAACGATCGCCCATTCGAGTCGAGCGTTTTACCCAGAGGGATCAAGAACAGGTTTTTCTTTTGTACTTCTTCCTCGACAATCGATTTGAAGGTGATCTCCTCGAGTCTATTGCCAACCGATTTCTTCAGTTTAGACTGTTGATGGTCCTCCTTCTTAGATTTCCTTCTGGATCCTGAAGAGGATGCTAATGCAGCAGTTATGGTGGCCAAGTCGGGTTTAGGTAATTGTGCTTTGAGATCACCGCCTAACGAGGATAACGATTTGGCCTGGTTCATCAATTCCTGGCCGGTAGCAAACCCCAAGCTAACTATTGATCGGTCGCTCAAAAGATATTCAGGGAATAAAGATTTCCACCAATTATACCATTCTCCGATCTGATCTCCATTGGGAGAGGGCGAGGTCAACCAGATCCATAAGGTATCGATCCATTTGGAGAAAAACTCATTGGTCAAGAGCTGGTCGAGGATTTCTTGATTGGTGATCAGTTGGCACCAATTGAGCATCACCTGAAATGGACGCAGGTTTTGATTCTTGGGGTTGATCGATAGGTTGCTGCGCAGGTAACTCGCTAGATGTGGGGCGACCGTTTTCAGGATCATCTTATCCCAATCACGCCGCTTCAGTACGTCCTTCTTCCATACTAATAAGTCCTGAATCATCAGTCCTTCTTCAGCACTTTCCACCGACGTGTATTTCCACGACTTCAACCAAGCCGATAGTTTCAGCTTGACTTCTGCCAAGATCAGTTCACTGCGGTACGCCCCGACCAGCTCCAACCAAGGGAAAACAAACAGGTGAAGTGAGACTCGCTTGGTATCCGGTCGAGTACTGTCGAAAGCTTCGGTCTGTTCTCGGAAGTCCCAATTGCCAATCCAGGTGAGCAGCTTGGGTACAATCAACTGGTCGAGAAAGTTGTCGTGTACGAATGGAGGGAGGATCGACTTCCAACTAGTGTAGATCGTGATCATTTCCTCAGACTGGTAAGGTGACCAAACGTTGACAGCCGACCGGATCTTTGGCAGCCAATCGTTCCAAATCAGACTCTCATATGCCGTCATCTTACGGTTAGACTGCATGGCTGAGCCCCGAGAGAGTGTGGGGAATAATGGGTGCTGGAAACTCTCTTCATCGCCGGTTGGACTGGATGAGTGGGAGCCTTCTTGGTCCGTCCGAAAACATTTTCTAAACCGCTTCAATTCCTTGACAGAAAGACCAGGCTGTCGCAGTACATCCCAGCGACTCCATACCTGTCGTAACTGTAAAGACCAAATAAAGTACGGAGTACTCGGTTAGAAAAACTATTGTCATAGATGCACGAGCTAAAAAAAAGTCAATGCTTACAATTGGAGCCAGGGCAGATACAACAATCTCATCCAACCTCAATGATTCTTGATCAGACTTTGGATTGTCGGAGAGAAATTCGAGTAATTCAAAGAACAACTCATCAAACTGATCGATCATCTGACAGATCTCGAGGGCGGAAGAATTCTCGGTGATTTGACTGATGATGTTGGTATAAGTGCCTTTGGTCAACCGAGTCAGCTCGACGATCCGTTTGATTTTGCTCAGTTTTTGTTGCTGAAGTTTCAGGATCTGCTCTGAACGGGCTTGATCCTTGGTGAGCTGTTGAGACTTCTGCTTGATTGCTTGGCCCTCCTTGGCTAAATGAATGAGGCTCCCCTTTGATATATCGCAGATCAAGCTCAGGTTATGCATCAGTTCTGGTAGACGGTGTTCTTGTTCTTCCTCGGTCGGCCCCTTTGAATGATGAGTTAGAGTGGTGTTGAGACTAGGTAATTTACGACCGGTGAGATCGATGATTTCTCCAACTCCGGGATCTATTGAGGTCTGATCAGGATCAAGTTCGGAAATGATTTGCTCGTATGTACGATGAACGACTTTGGCTTTCTTGGGTGTTTTTGGTTTTGCCTTCCAAGCTTCACGCACGATTTCTTTGCCCTTCTTGTCTTTCTTCTTGCCAAACTTTTTAGCATCGTCATCCTCATCGATTATCTTGCCGTTCCGACGATCCTCCTCTTTGGCTTGAGCCGTCCTCTCCTGAAACCCTTTATAACTCAACCCCATACCTTTGGGGCGCGCTTTGGTCTCGAGCGGGGTGACGATCCCTTCACCCTGTGTACCTAGACCCGTTCCGCTCTTCCAACCCATGTTTTGAAGCATCTTCAAGCCGATCGATGAAGTTTTGTTGCTAGCCAGTTTTGCAAAATGCTGCTGTTCTGCTTTGGAAAGTGGTTTCTTCTTGACGGGCTGTATCGACGGATTGGCTTGCTGGGCGCCAAGGAACGAGCGGCGAGGGACGGTGGGTTCGGGCGTGTTTTGGTCGGAATTTCTTGACTCATTCCCAGTCTCATCAGATGGTTGGGATCCAAGGCCGTTATGACCACTAGTCGTTGATGAAGAGCGGTTGGCTGCTTGGGAGCCTAATCCACGGGATCCCAAGCCTCCTGTTGCCCCCAGCATGGCTCTAAAGTCACTATTCGAGGCTGAAGAACCGAGGCCATGACGAGAGCCTAAGCCAGAGGTAGCAGTTTCACTGAGAGCAGGTGGGTTGGGATTTTCGGTTTCCCCGATTGAATCGGATTTTGAATCGGATGAATCGGACCCTGAATCGTGGTCAGTGGAAGAGTCTTGACTGGGTTCCTGTTCGCCATCGGAGCGATTTTCGGTTTGGTTCGGCAGATTTGAAGAGCTAGATGAAGCTTGTACGAAGGCTTGGGTCCTAGACATCCGCAAGATTGAACCAGAGAAAGAGGTCTGGATTCAGTCTGATGAAACGTTGATTGGTTTATGACCAGCTGGAGGTGCAAGGAAGGTCAACACACCGATGTAAACGTTTGTCTGGCTTGTTGGTCTTCTTGGTTGGTTGGTCATCTTCAGCAGCAAATACACCGTAGATAGCATCAGCCTTTCCATCGTTCATCCTTCTCCTCTTGTTTCCTTTGTTTCTGTAAGGGTCATCGAAAAGGGAATGTTCGTCTTGCAGATCTCTGTCATCAAATTCGATCTGGTCCTGTTCATTTCCCGATGAGTCTGAGTTACTGTCGAGGTCTGAGTCGTCCATGATAACTTCTCGTTTCCGTGCCATGTCGTCGTCACTTCAGATGTTTGAAGCTACACAGCTCGCGGAGGGAGCTAGGACAGACTGCGAGGTTGCTGATGTCATCCGAAAAGCGCGACATATGTATGTACATCTGTGACATCTCTGTAACATTTCAACTCAAGACTCAAGAGCCAATCAATTCGAGCATTAAAGAGGAGAACTACCGATGAGGTATGTAGACATGGATGCACGTCAAGATTCAGATGATGCCAATGACAAGTGATTGTCTCAAACATCATCATTCTTGAGCTGTATTTGTGCATCAAAGAATGGAGAGAAGGTCTGCAAGCTCAACTACAGTTTATTTGCACAAACCGTGTCCACCCTGTCCTGTTTTCAAGCTTATCTATGTTGGCGGGATAATTCCTCTTCCCGCCCTTCCATGCGTTTCTCTTGGATTGAGGAACCAGGAACAATCCTTTGAAGGCTGCATTCTTGTCAACAAAAGGTGCGGATACTTCCAAAGGCTGGCTATAAGTTGAAACGGCGAAGTATGAATGCTTGTTTGCTTTGGTTAGATGAGATTTACAGATCTGGTTGTTATGTACAACTGATTTTTTAAAGATGATTCCCAAGGCGTGGTCAGTGGCAGGAATGCTTGTGTAAAGCAGTTCAGCAGCTCATGTGTCTCAGAGTGAGGATCTTTCATATGCGCCGCTCATTTTTAATGGATTATTCAACGGTTCCAGTGTTGATGGAAAAATGTCTGTATTATGACTGCATAGGTCTGTGGGTGAGAGGAACAAAAACGCGATAAAAAACAGTGTCTCCGCTGGAAAAAAAAGGGAAACAATGATAACGCTTGCAGGATGTAGTAGTAGTATGTGTCCAAGAAACTAATCGAAAATGAAAGAGAGTTCTGGCGCGTGACAAGATGATGGCTACTATGTATTCAACGGTTCGTAAGTGTGAAAAATGGGCTGTTCACTTCAGCAATCGTTTGTTGGGGGAATTTATTCCGAGAGGAACTTCCGAGTCGCTCTGACAGTTTCATCGGTGGGGCCCATGGTATCAAAGCTTCAAGTCGAGAAGAAGATGTGGTTAGGTGCTTGAAATAAATGGCTTTTGGGGATAAATGAGTGGCTCTCGTAACTCACAAGTAGACACCTCCCATTTTGTTTTGCTTGGCAAATTTGGCCTTGGCAAGTGTGCTTTCTTTGTCGTCGTATGAGATGAGGTATTTCTCGTTGGCGAGGAAGGGCTGGTGGAAAGGAACGGCACAAACAGGGACACAGATTTTTTTTAGCTTCGATGATAATGTGCTCTACGAGTGTGAAGAAGTGGACTTACCTGGCCACTGCACTCATCAACAACCCGCTTGTATCCGTCTAGACCGCGGGTTTGGTCCTTGGACAACCATCCGTTCTTAATGAGCTCGGTTACGAGGAACGACCCGCCCCAAGTCTGGGGGTTACCACAGACGTCTTTTCCTGGTTTGTCGTCGAATTTACCTCCAGCCTGATTGAGAAGATACAAAAAGGCATGAGCGGAAGCTGAGGACAGCTTGTTTGAATCATAATTGGATCAAGCGGCTTACCGGGGTGACGTCGCTCTTCTTTTGGTAGTAGAACGAGGTTTGTTTACCGACAGTCTTGGGCAACAGCTTAGGTGACAGAAGCTGGAAACGTTTGGCGTAGCCCGGAATGCCCAAGAGGATCTGAGATGCCTTGAAGCCTTGTTTCAGTGCAACCTGTAAGCCGGTTTCAACGGATTGGTCAGCGCCGGCTCCGGCACATGTGCCTTTGATTGGAGCGATAGGCCCAGTCGAATCAGACCACGAGCCATAGACGTCGTAGGCCATGAGGTTGCTGAGTGGAGGGAGATGCATTATTTCGAGTCAGTCCAAGCCATTCTACCGCCCAATCATCAAACTGTTTTGCCCGGCTCACATGAAGTCTAGATTTTCGGTCAAGAAGGCAGTTTCTTTGGGTGTGGCAGGCTCCCCAGTGGCGCCAATCAGGCCGGTTACACCTACAGCTGCGGTGAGCTCAACTTCAGGCCATAGAGTGCGAATCTCCTGAAGGATTTCAAGTGAAAGTTCGGTTCAGCTCAATGGATTTTGCTCATAGACTTAATGGGAATGTATGTTACCTTGGCGAGCAAGCCGAAATTGATCACATCAGCTGGACGACGAGAGTTACACCCAATGCCCTCACTGAGATTGGATGTGGGGACAACATCAGCGACAGAACTTGCATTGCTTGTGTAGGCAAAACTCACCCATTAGGATCTGCGAAAGATTGGGAACGAAGTGATTAATAAATGGAGCAACCATGCGGCGAATTAGGCTTGAATATTATCTACTCACATTCCCAGTCCATTTCGATTCCAGTGAAGCCATGCTTTTTGGAAAAGTTGACGAGGATTTGTGCAAATCGCTTGCGAGAGTAGTCACTCGAAGTCAGGTTCGAAAAGTGTCTAAAGATCAAATCTTTGAGTCAGATCCAATTGGACGTAGAGTCACAATTCTCGAGTTGGGGAATTGTGATGTCACGTACCGTGAGCCGGTCCAACCACCCGTGCTGATAAGGGGATTTACTTTGTCTAATGTGGAGATTGAGGTTCAGGACGAGTTGGCAACGACACAATAACTATGAATACGCACGTTTGCGAGCTTCATCGACAAATTCCTTCACCAACTTTCGACCTTGGGATCTAGTGAGTGAGGGGTCAAAGGACAGGGTGCCGTCGGCTTCTGGAATCACCATGAAGAAGAGAACATCGGTGTATGCAGCTACGAAAGACACACAATGACAAGGTATCAGTAAGGGTAAGTTGCAAAAGAACTGCGTGCTTGATGAACTGGAAATTTACCCCAATCAATCTTAGAAGGAGGTTGAGCATCGGAATTATAGGTGGGATAGTATCCCTTGACTTTGGCTGAGCCGTCGCGCTTGACGCGGCCGGCAGCCGTGCTTGTGCTGAACAAAAGGGCGGCAAATAGGAAGCTCCCAAAATTGATTGGGAAGTCGATCTCATGTGTGTATACAGGCAGGAGGTATTAGGTGGAAACGAAAGGTTGGGTAATGTGGAGCGAATGATATGGATGGATGATGAGCGATAAACGTGGCCTGTGCTAGACCCAGTTTATATATGTATTCGCCTCAGCCTTTCTGTTTTTCATGCCAATTTCCAAAGGGCGCCAAAAGGGTGCCAGCTCCTGACAGAGGATCCCATTACCGAAATGCCGACGGTTGCCGAATCATGCAAAGAAAGTACAAACAGCCACCCTTTTGGGATTTCTCAGGGCTTGCAGACAGTCTGTATTTGTGGCTGAACAGTTCATCTCAATAGGCCAGAATTCAAGGAGCTGTAAAAGATATTGCGTGGTTGTGAGGCAACGTTGAGGTCGCGTGGCCAATCCCGATGGCACGTGGCCAGTACGGGCGCCAGCGCCTTGCACCCGCCCCATCAAAGGGTCCTTGACGGAAGGAGGATGAATTGCGGGGCAAGCAAGTCCCGCACTTCGATGACCGTCCATCAGACGGATTGGGAGAAACTGGGTTCCCGGAAGCATGAAGCCTTTCTTTCACGGCCAAAGAGAGTGCACCGCGTAATACTCGGGTGCAGGTTTGCGGTTGCGGAACGCTTCATGGACGAGTCCGGGCGATTCTCCACCGCTCGGACTTGCAGCTCCGAGTTGTAGTGATCAAAGATGTGCTGGCAGTGGGTCGATACAACATTGCATTTGAATTATCACCCAAAGCTGTACACCGCGGGTGCAAAATTTTTTGAGTTCGACGTCAGCCGACTCTGGCTGGGCAGTAGACGTCAATTCCTGAGCAGCTACGGCTGATCCCTGTATCACAAAAGCCTGAACGGCCCACACCCATCTGCAGACAGCCCCCACACAGCAAGCCCCCAGGCTCACAACTCCTGGCTGTCATGACTGAGATCCCGTCCCCATGCGGGCTCGGAGACGCTGCCAAGACAGCAGAAAATCCTACCCGTCTGAAGCGGTCTAAATAAATGAGGCACATCTGGCAGTCGGCGTATCTACCGCCCCGCACCAGCGGGCACCATCACTCACAGCATCTGCACGGTCTACAGCATACCCAAAAAAGCTTGCAACTTTTGCAAGAAAAAACAAAACTTTGAGCCTGCATAAATTAAAATTATTGCAGATTTCTTCCCGGCAGCTGTCAAAGATTGACAGCTGCCTTTGAACTAGGAGGTGTGTATGGACTAGACGGTGACCAGCTGGTGTATATACATACATCCGACCGGACCGGCACTCATTTCCCTCCAAACCACTGGCCTCCTAAATCATTTCCTCCCTCCATCCGACTGTTTTCCTGAACAAAAAGAAATTGCAAGTGTCTCTGTGTCTTATCTAACTTGGATTCTGTTTCCCTGCTGATTGCTGTGACTTTTCCTACAGTTGATCCATGCCGTTTGTCAATTATAGAGCGGCCTTTTTCACCATAATGGAAGAATCCCTGACCTTGTAGAAGCACGCGGTTGCCGAGTCATTTATCTCCCCCCATACTCGCCTGACATGAATCCGATTGAGAAAGGATTCAGTGTCTTGAAGGCTTCGCTTCGACGATATGGGCATCTGGATGGTAGCGTGGATGATGGTGAAATCATTGAATCTCATGTCCGCTATGTATTCACCGAGTCATTAATGAGGAAGCTCTTCAGAGGATGCGGCTACATTGATTGATTTTGTGATCACCCTGCTTGGCTCGCTGATCTTGACTGTTTACTTGTCTACCTTTGATCTGAAACTCCCTATCAACTGTCCTTGTGACTCTATCCTGTCTACCTTTTTCCTACACCGATATCTTCTGTCTAGCTTTTTCCTACACCAATATCTTCTCTCCTTGCTTGTGTGAATCACATGTGTTTCCATCACCAACCAGATAGCTTTCTCTTAACCCAGGTCGCTTGTGTCTCCTCATATTGCTTGATGTTTATGCTTCCCTCTGGCTCAATCGATCACATTCTCTGTCTATCTATGTCCAGTCTCATGTGGAGATAAAATTCACCCAAAACTATCAGGTGGCTCAGGTGATTGATTTGTCTGTTTGCTGAATGTGTGCATCTCAAAGGATCGGTTGCTTGTTGGTCGATTCAGTGATCTGTTATGCCAGACAGGACCGATCACCAAGTATATTAATGAGAGAGGAATCACTGAGATTCATTGAAATGCTATTGGATTGTATTTGTTTCATAAGTCATTGAAGAATAAAAAAGGAAGTATTGAGATGAGACCGATTGATCGATAAATGAAGATCAATCGGTCTAAAGCACTCCGATGGTTTCTTTTCTTAAGAACAAGAACTGAGAACAAGTTAGATGAGACCGATCAATTGGTGAATGAAGATTGATCGGTCTGAAGCACTCCGATTGTTTTTTTTCTTAAGAACAAGAACTGAGAAAAAGTTGGATGAGACCGATCAATCGATAAATGAAGATTGATCGGTCTAAAGCACTCCGATTTGGATGAGACCGATCAATCGATAAATGAAGATTGATCAGTCTAAAGCACTCCGATTGTTTTTTTCTTAAGAACAAGAACTAGAACAAGAACTGAGACCAACTTATTGAGATGAAAACAAGTTATTGAGATGACAACAAGTTATTGAGATGAGAACAAGATATTGAGAGAACATGAGCCCGATCAATTGATAAATGTAGATTGATCGGTCTAAAGCACTAAGATTGTTTTTTTTCGCATGTAGATAAGCAAGCCGGAATAAAATAATAAAATGAGACAGGTGGAATGATCACTAAATGAAGATAAGATTGAAAGAAAGCCCTCCGATCGTTTGGATGATAATGAAAAGGTGAAACTGAGACAGATGTAATGATGTGAGATTGTTCAATCGACAGGGAGCTATTTAGTGACGTAAGTAAAGAAAGAGATCCAATCCTAGGCCCCATTGGCTCGAGTGCGCTTCTTCAAGTGATCTGAGTAGCGCTTTGCGGCCTGCTCGATGGTTCGTGCCGGCCCCAATGGGACACCGGCCTCTAAGAGCTCCTTGGATGTGACATGTCTGAACATGCTCCAGTGGGTAATTCCCAATTTGGTCAAGCCGTCTTGGATCGCGGAGCTTTCAGAATCGACCCGAGCGTACTTCAAAAATTCACGTATGTTATCGTCTACTTCCGAGTCTGATGGGGCTGGAGATGATTCTGGCTGAGATCTCGAAGGGTTCGCTTGGTGGACTGAATCATGAGGAGCGACCGCGGGATGAGGAGCAGCCCCTGTGGGATGGGGAGGTGGATGAGGATGACCGTGATAGCCATAAGCCGGGGGATAGTGCATCGGTTGATACATATTTCCATATGGGTTATATGCGAAGGGCGGGAGCTGGTTACCACGGGCCGGATGTCCTCCCTCAGGCTCAAGTAGGCCAGTTATGTATTCGAATTGAGGGGTCTTTGGAGGGGTACGCAGATCAACGGTTTCCGGGCTGGAATTCTAGTAGGATTGATCCACAATTAGCCTGACAAGAAAGAAGCACGTGATCCAGATACAATAAGGACTTACCATTGCTTTCCCCCATGCTTCTGCTTTGGCCATCGTAACGACAAAATACTCTTGGGTTTTCTCCGGATTAATGAAGACCGATTTATCGGAGCTTCCGGTCAACGAAGGGCGAGGTGTATGGGTCGCAAAGATCTCACCGATGAACTGGTTGATCTTAGCCCTATCAGCAGCCGCGGATGATGGTTGAAAAGTTGATTCTTCTGAAGACGGTTTGTGGCGCTTGGATATCCCCTTCAATGCTGCCGCTCGCTGCAGCAAAAGTCAGTTGCGAGATACATAAATTCACCAGATACAAGACCCAAAGACTTACCTTGGCAATTGCCTTGGGGTCTGTTTGATCTAATCGACAGGTGAGCTTGCGACCTGGTTTACTTTTCTTGCAAGCTGTCAGCCATGCAGCAAACACACCCGGCTTGTCAAGCTGCTTGTTCCCACCGACCGCAAAATCACGACAGTGAAGGACACTTCCATACCAGTTAATATTTCCAATTGCCTCGTGAGCTTCGACAAATTCGGGTAGCCCATCATCATCTTGATCGTCTTCCGATAAGGCCTTGAAGACCTCCGACTTGAATGATGAGAGATCAGTATTTTCAAAGTCCCAGGCCACAGTTATCTTGCCGGGGATCGAGTCGAACACCCTCGTCTTCGGTACCTCGACAGCAGCACTAGCTGGCTTTCTCTTGCGCGTAGAACTTGACTGTTCCTCAACAGCTGGCATGTGGAACCGATACTCAATCATGATTAAGCGCTCGGGATTGACTGGATGAGACGCTTCCTCCGAATCCGACTCAGGGTCCAAATGATCCTGAAGCGAGTGATGATCCAAAGAAGTACGACGGGCGGTGTGCAGTTGCTCGATCTCTTCATCTAAGTCCAACAGAGTAGAGTTTCTGCTTGACCAAATGGGAGACGCCCCATGGTCAACCACTTGGTATGGCCTGATGGAGCTCGGGGTTGTCGTAGAGGAGCTGGTTTGCGGAGTCAAAGTGCGGATGTTACGAGGTGTGACTAGTCCAACCGGAGCAGCTCGAGTAGAATTATTCAACCGAGCGGGCCAATGAGATTGATGCATAGGATTAGTCAAATCAGAATCGATGTGAGTCCCAGCATGATGAGACGGAAGATTGGTAGAAGCCAAACCAATCGAGTGAGAACCTGAATTGTGATTGGATTCTGGCAAGCTACTTCTTGCTGTTAAGAACGATTGGCTAGGGTTAAGATACGCATTACGAAATTCTAGGGCGGCTCGGAGTTGAGCATCCTGCTCATGTTGATTGTCGGATAGACCGTAGCTCTGATGGACGGAGGAGCTGGTTGTTATGTAGCCAATGGAGCGATTAGGACCGGCAGGAAAACATCGGCATTTTCTCCCATTTTGATCCACAATCTCGTAGCTGTCGTCTGCCGGGGTCATCGTGCTACTTAATGGGGTCAAAGGCAGCTCGGTGAGTCTGTTGTTCAGCCAATCAGTCCCAGCGTCACGAGGTGCGGAGTCCGGCGAGTTGTGCAGGATGTTGTCCAAGCGCATGATGACTGTTGATAGAGGAGAATCACACCGGAACACCCTCAAGTGGTTTGGAGGGAAATGAGTGCCGGTCCGTTCGGATGTATGTATATACACCAGCTGGTCACCTTCTAGTCCATACACACCTCCTAGTTCAAAGGCAGCTGTCAATCTTTGACAGCTGCCGGGAAGAAATCTGCAATAATTTTAATTTATGCAGGCTCAAAGTTTTGTTTTTTCTTGCAAAAGTTGCAAGCTTTTTTGGGTATGCTGTAGCACAAAAGGAGAACGGGGTCTCTGTTGGGAACTAACCACTCAGGCCTGCAATACCCACCGCACCCTCTGCTCACTGGGAGAGGCGGTGTGATTTCCGTTGTGTATGCAGAGGCTCTGGGTGATCTACCTTCACAAACCGAGTGTTGATCATTGCCCCGTACTTATTGACATGCTTCAGCTTCAGTGTGAACACTTCAGAATTTTTCTGCAGCCACACCACCATCAACCCATCACATTATCCAATTTCTCCAACTGTTTCCCAGGCAAAAAAACAACCAACATTCCCCCACTGCTAACTTCAATTCCACCCAGTACTATTGCAGATGTCGACCACCATATTCAACCATGAGCAGTAGCATTGAGGCCAATGGATGCTTTGCACTGTTGAGTGTGAGTACTGACCCTGACCTTGCCGAGGCTTTTGATGAAGCTGACATTCTAGCAATATGTTTGGCAGCATTCTTTACTCCGATATAGACTTGAGTTCATCTAACCCCCCATCGAGGAGGAGCTCATGGCCCAATTTGTCTTGATGGCACAAAAACGACTGGCCACAACTGGCCACTACAACAACCAACACAGGATCTGGGGACGAGTGGTCGTCCACAGCTGGATGCACAACCCAATCTTTTCATATGTTGGCCCTCTGTTAGGTGTTCAAGTTCGCCCTTGAGGCAATTTTTTTAAATGTTTCATTTCACCTTGTGACCGCTTTCTATTGCTTCAGGGGGTTGTTATCGAGTGCCGTACCTTGCCCTTCGCAAATCTAATTATAAACATACATGTATATTGTTCAATCTTTAACATACGGTGCCCCCCCCCGAGAGGGATAGATTTCGTAGTGCATGCCGTCGGCGGCACCAAATGCATGCATTGATCATGCCTTTGGCCGGGATAGACTGTCTCATCCCTCAGCCCAGGCCACTTGGTACAACAGCCAGACAGTCGGACCATGCGTGTGTGTGAGCTGGTCATTTGCGTGTACTTCTCCGCTAGATGACGGCCCTCTTGGCAAAGCACGTTGTTGTTGCAGGGCAGCGCTGGTTGGGAGACGGTTTCTAAGCTACGTCTGTGGACGAAACTGCCCGACGAGCGCAAGCGGTCACTTTTGAGACGGCTCCTGGTGACCGTCATTCAGACCTTGTACGGAGCCCGTGTATGGGCCGTGGGGGCTTGCGCGGAGGGTCCTGTCTCCTGACGGTCAAAAATGACTGTCGCACTGACGGGATTCTGCACCCGGGGTGTAGTACTCCGCCCACAGCCTGGGGCCATGAAGCACGCGACTTGATACAAAATATTTGGCAATTGCATCACTGATTCACACAAAAGGCATGTAAAGCTGGCCGGCAGTAAATCCGCACTTGGGAGCAATACCATTGAGCCGGGTTGCTTGTCGGAGCGTTATGTACACCATTAACAAATTCTGAATCTTGGCCCAAGCCAGGAGCACTCTTTGCCAAGTACATATTCATGATACAGTTTGCATGTAGTGTATGACCACTACAGTATGTGGCTTCATGCTGGTCCCACCCAAACATTATCCATAGCCCCCCAGGCACATCTCAGGATGGGTTTTTGACCATCAACCAACCTCCAAGCCCATTTTTTGACAATTAACCATTTATTTTTGACTGTCGGATCCATGTGAAAACCATCAATCAGACACTCTGAGAAGTGTCCAATTGATGGTTTTCCTGTTTTCTATTGGACACTCTCAATCAAGTGTCCAATGGACAGTGGGCTGTATGCCATCCTCTGGATGGTCTCGCCTGCCAAGCATCCCTTGGAAGCTTTCTGAAGTGTCCAAGTGATGCCAGGTGTGCCCGAGCATCTGTTGGATGCTTTGCAGCTTTGCAGCCAAGTTGCGGGCGCTTGGGACGGAGTCCATCTGACTTCTGGGGGGGGGGGTCTAAAAAACCTCCCCATGGTGTAGCTGTATCAACTTGTATTGAGTAATATGGTAGCTTCACCAATTGATGGCCAGTTTCTGTCTCCCAAAGCAATCAAGTGCTGGAATGATTGGGACTAGAGATTGGCAAGAGTGCAACTGATAAACATGGATTATTGATCACTGAAATCCATTCAAACTGTACAACAAAGCCTCCTCAGCATGTCTAAAAACCACTAAAGTACTTGTCTGAAGTCCAAAGCTGGGTCAAAGTTGTTGTCTTCTGGGAAAGGTGATTTTTGATTGTCTTCACGGTAAGGAAATCCTGATTTCGTGGTTTCTGAGTTGGAGAGTTATTAATAGCTAGAAGAGATCTTTAATTTTTGTTCGCTTCAAGCTCCAGTAGCATGAGTGCATTGCTTGTTCTCAGGGTCTGAGGGTAGAGATGAGAAAATCTTCACAGAGAAAAACCCTGTTTACGTATCAAAGAGAGAATATGGCTTATGTTGATAAAGCATGTGCACTTGCAGATGAATGGAGGACTTCCTGTCAGATCTGGGACCTCTGAAGATGTTGATTTAGACCCAAAAATTCTAGAATTTTGCTTGGAAATCTAGATTCTGAAGCTCTAAAAGATATTGATGGGAAGTTGTCCAGAAGAATGGTGAAGGTAGGACTTCCTCCTGACAGGAGGAAACTGGAAATCCACAAAAAATTTACGCCTTGAAGAAGTGACGGTGAAATGACCAGATTAAATCAGAATGGCCACAAGAACTCCTTCTTGAACCTCATCTTGCAGATCTTTCACTAAACGGTTTTAGCTAAATCAAAAAGTGGCCAGATCACAAACTAACAATAACAACAGCAACAACAATAACCAAAGAAAAAATAAAGACTCAAAAGAGAGGGGGGAAAACACTTTTATATGTCTGCTGCTGAGCAGATGGACAGCACAACACTTGATATTTATAATTTGTTACTGGTGAAAGATTTTTAGGGTGATTCTTCTGAGCTTTTGACAGTGCAAATGTTGATCTGATTTGATTGAACCTAGAGTGAAATTGAGATGGAGCAACAGTGAAGGACTTCCTGTTGCCATTTAGAGTGCTTCTAAATTAACACCCCAATCATAATTCTAACCAGCTCACATGAGGGCTATCTGCACAAGGCTTGTGAAAAACCAATTTTTTACACCAAAAATTAAGATCTAGGGGGTGTAAATTAAATTCTGGGAGGGTTGTAAACCGCGGCGGGAAGTCATCCAGTGGTTCAGATATGCTAACTGCAGTGTATCTAAAACACACTAGTTTTAAAATAGTGTTAGCATGATTCCACAAATCTGCACTAACACTACATGCAGAGGGTGAAAAATTTCACTAAAATGTAGCATAGCGTTAGTGCAGATTTGCGGGATTGCATACAGGGCACCAATATTTCCTCACTACACTTTCAATGATGGGCCGCTATGCTACACTACACTAAACAGCCCACTAACTTTAGTGTAGCAGCCCTCAAAACAGCACCCCAAACCTGTAGTGTTAGCACGCTGTTAGTGCCACTACACTATGTTATGCTGAGCTACATTAGCGGCAAAAATGGCCCAAAAACCGCTAAAATGTGCCGTAGCACAGCATAGTGGGCCCTTTTTGTAGGCCCACACGTGTAGCATTAGTGCAGTTGTGGCGGAATTCCACTGCGATACGCTAAGCGTTGTGGAAAGTAAGGAGTGCCCTAGGAGAATCATTGACCTTCTCCACTCCACAACGCTCCCTTACTCCAATTTGTTGTCTGGGGTAACTTGCTTGATGGTTGTGTTGGTAGGTAAATAACTATGATTTCCCTTCTCTACCGTTTAATACTCTAACTTTTCTCTATATCTAACAATTTCTTAGGCTAATACACAATTACTTCCTAATTCTCCCTGTTTTTCTGATATGTTCTAGGTCATGAGTCCCCCTCTCCTCTCTTTGCAACTGTTGCACAGCTTGTCAATCCGGTGGAAACCACTAAACTTCCCAAATCACATCATGTAGGCTGTACCACCAGCCAAAACCCCTCATGTATTCTTCCATCTTGGCCAAATTACCTCATTTAAGGCTGTACAACCAGCCAAAATCCCTCATTCCTGGCTCAAAATACCTCATTCTTGTTCCTCCCAGTTGTAATTTCTCCCCAGCAGACTTTCATCATTCATTTCCCCACATAACAGGAAAATCACTGCTCACTCCATAATATTATTTGTTCCCCAATACTTTGGTTTTACAATTGTAACAACCCTTACATAACAATATTACAACATCTTTACACATAACAAATCCTATTTCAGCAACTGTCCACCTTTTAAACAAAAGCGTATCTTTTGATACATTCCACTATCACTAATTAAAAGCTGCCAATCTAAGATTGGTGGTCTTGTTTAGTGTAGTACACAGGAAAGGCAGAGTTTTCCTCACACATCCCTTTTCACACTCAGCAAAAGTTTCACAAAAAAACTTTTGAGCTTAACATTGGCCAAAGCTTTGGCCCTGACGCGCTCTCTCCACCACAATGTTGTGGTGGTCCAGGCTGTGTGCGCAACAAAACTGCCAAAACCCCTACCTTATTACCTAAACCCACTTACATATATGAATATATTATTGCATAATCAGAATCTATGTACAATTTTACCCATAGTCACTCACTACAACTATACCTCTATCTCTATTAGTTTAGAAGATAATCCAATATAAAGGTTAAAGCCATACCATACCTAGTCATTAATTAGTAATTAATAGTAGTTTAACACATACATATAATTACATACACATAAATTATTACATCAGCAGGCCTCCACCAGTAGTGCAGATCAGTTATGCAATTCTTGCATGCATACGTGCAACCATTAGGCCTCCACTTAGTAACTTAATTGAATTTACGCAGACTTTGCATAAATGCATGTGGACAGAAAAACCTCCACCAGGCAGTGCAATCAGTCATGCAATCCTTACATGCAGTAGTACCATATTTAGTTATTTCCACAGCATAATTAGCTCAATGCATGTACTCTTTGCAGGAGGCAGTGCAACCCACAAGGTCATCACCATCATCACTCAGCAGCCCAACTCCCATCCAGCTAGCTCAGTGGTCATCAACATTAAAATCTAACAACACCATTATCATCACCCAGCCAGCACAGTACCCAGCTAGCTCAGTGGTCATCAACACAAACACCATCAACATGCAAGACTAGTCAACACCAGTAACAACAACAACAACAACAACAACAACAACAACAACAACAACAACAACAACAACAACAACAACAACAACAACAACAACAACAACAACAACAACAACAACAACAACAACAACAACAACAACAACAACAACAACAACAACAACAACAAAACCAACAACAACAACAACAACACCAACACCAACAACAACAACCCAACAGTTCCCTAAATCACCGTAAAGCCATAAAACCCTATAAAATATTCCCACTTGGATTGTTTTCACACCCACATTCACCATGTAAAGGTGGTACAACCATCTTGTATTGAATTACATACTGATCCAGGTCTGATAGAGACTACTACATATAAAGTTTTCTCTGTCATCAAGTTACGCCACAACAATAAATTAAATTGTTGTCAGAATTCTTGTGCAGTAAATAGAGGGGCAGGTCTTTCAAACCACCTGTAACAGTAAATATTACTTAGTGAAATATCATTTTGTTATTTCCCCCTCAAGGACTGCCAACCCATCCCAAAGGAGTTCTCACAACGTTAGCGGAATTCTGCTACACTACGCTATGCTAACACTACCATTAGCGTAGTGGGCCCATTGTTGTGATTGTACCCACTTCTTTCACACTTTAGAAGTGTACCAATAAATGCATACCAGTACACTTCTATAGTGCAAAAGGGATGGTTTGGAATCCAATCCTGCAATCCTCCAGACTTCCTCTTGAGTCCAAGGGAGACTTGTTTCAACACTCCAAGTGCTTGTCCCCTAACCCATCCCTAACACTCAAGGCCTATCAGGGTGAGCAAGAGGGGAGGGATGTTTTTTTCTTGAGGTTGAAGTTGAACTTGATTGGTTTGACTTGAGATAGTGAGACTGTTTGAGTGGGAGGGGGGAGGATTGCAGGATTTATGGATTTTGCACTTTATAAGGAGTGCATGCAGACCTGTTTCTTACTGCACTTCTATAACAGTGTAAGGAGTGTACATCCACAGGTCTGTTGGCAAGCTGTTACAGTAGAAATTGAATGCTGACACCATCTCACTCTGATGTGTCAGCAAGATACATAGCCCCCAGTGTCTTGCTGACATCAACCGGTCAAGACCGTGCACTCTTGACCACACCAGGAGGAATGCAATCTGCTGATGGCCTGCAGGACCCCTCTTGTCAAGATGGTCATCACCTTGGAGGATTCCCACCCTCCTGAAAAAAAATTCTCCCCAGTCCTACAACACATCATACCTTTTCTTTTCTTTTGATGGCCACCTAGCATGTAGCATGTAGCAAACAGACATATAAACATCCTTGTTTCATCAGATCTGCTCGCTATCACAACACATAAATCCTCGGTTTTCTAGTGTCTAAAATTTGCCGACGACTTGGGGGTTGGAAAAACGACTCCCTAAAATTTGCCGACGACTCCCATTTTGGTCAACGGGTCGTCGGACGGGAGTCGTCTTTCCAATTCCCCCTGGGGGATTGGGAGTCGCCTTCCCATTTTTTTTTTGGGTGGGAGTTGGCGCCCAAAACCCTCCTTGGCAAGTGGGAGGTTTGGGAGTCGCCTCCCTCCCACTGGCCGCGGGGATTCCCTCCGGTCATTGAGACTGTACAGTCTCAATGACCGGAAAGAATCCCTTCCGGTCAACAAGACCATACAATCTTGATGGCCGGAAGGAACCCCTTCCGGCCATCGAGACCAATCTTCGTGACCGGAAGTTCCGGTCGGTCTAGGCTCTACACCTCATCGATCGGAAGGATATCCTTCTGGCCGATGAGATACAACAACACCATCGACCGAAGGAAGGTCAATGGGGGCTGTTACACCTCATCAACCGGAAGGGATTCCTTCCGGTGATGAGGTTGTTACACCTCATCGACCGGAGAAGGGATTCCTTCCGGTTGATGAGGTTGTTACACCTCATCGACTGGAAGGAATCCCTTCCGGTTGATGAGGTTGTTACACCTCATCAACCGGAAGGAATCCCCTCTGGTTGATGAGGTTGTTACACCTCATCGATCGGAAGGAATCCCTTCTGATCGATGAGGACCGGAAGGGATTCCTTGCGATTGAACCTCATCAACCGGAAGGAATCCCTTCCGGTTGATGAGGTGTAACAGCCCCATTGACCGGAAGGAATCACTTCCGGTCAATGGTATCGTTGTTTCTTATTGACCGGAAGGATTTCCTTCCGGTCATGTGGGAGCGACTCCCAAACCCCCTCAAGCATGAGGGGTGGTTTGGGGATCCAACTCCCAAAAATGCAAAAAAAATATTTAAAAAAAATAAAACATCATTGGATGGCCGACTCCCAAAGTTGGCCATCCATTTGGAAAAACGACCCCCATTTGACGTCGGACGACCGTATTTGGGAGTCGGCGACCAAAATTTGGGGGTAGTTTTTCCAAGCCCCTTTTTCTGATTGGTTTGTTTGTTTGAGTTTTGAGATGAATTTGTTTTTTATTTCAGGGATCAAAAAACTGAACCATAAATGAATTGATAATAAAAAAGAAGGAAGACTAGATAATTAGAGAATACATCAATACTTTATATTAGAGCCAGGAGAACACTTTTTTTGAATGGTCAGAGTATTTGTGATCAACGTGAGTTTGTTTTTTTCACTAAACATTTGCAATGAGAAAAAGATGGGTGAAAGATCCAATCTCTCTGTTCATGATGATGATTGAAGGAAAATCAAGACCGCCCTGCCGCTTCTGCACTACCGTGCAAGCCAGATTTTCGCCCCGCACAATCCCTCCCCCCCAAAGAAAAAAAGAAACCCAAGAAAAGGATTGTAGTACAGAAAGAAAAACAAATCAAAACACCACACGACTTAATATGTACTTAAAAAAACAAAAAAACTGGAAAGAAAAAAGAACGAAAGAAAACAAGAACAAGAACAAGAGCACACTTTTTTTTTTTAAACCAAGAGATGTGTGGGGGTCAAAAGTGGAGAGATGTATAGAATCAAAAGGGAGAAAGAAAGAAAAACTGGAGGGGCCCAAGGAAAACAAACACATCAAATAAGCCCAAAAACAATTATAAATAACTTTGAGTAAAACAAAAAAAAGATGATGATGAGTGAGTGAAAGAAAAGAGAGAGAGAATGATCTACTGAAAACAAGTACAAGTATATATAAAATATGGAAATATTTATATCTATTGATTGATGTGTTTGTATATATATATGAAATATATATAGATAACAAGAAAAAAAGTGAAACTTTGTTTTGGGTTTTTTTGTTAGTTTTTTTGGTGAAGTGTATGTGAAATGAAAAGGGGAAGAGAGAGAGAGAGAGAGAGAGAGAGAGAGAGAGAGAGAGAAGCAAGAGACGAGTGTATTATAAATATAAATATAGATATAAGAGTCCAAAAGAAAAAAGAGAGATCCAACAAAAATAAAAAAAGAGTGGGAGATGAAGGAAGGAAGGAAAGGGAATAAGCTTTATTCGACATAAGGCGGGGCGATCGAGCCGGTCAACGTGAGCTCGTCACGGTTCAACGGGAGCAGATTAAACCGATGAAGATGGTCATCGGGATCAGAAGTGGTAGAAGCAGTAGCAGTCGATGTATTTGTAGCAGTAGAAGGGGTAGTGGTTGTAGTTGTGGAAGACGAAGAAGAAGAGGAAGAAGAGGAAGAGGAAGAAGAGGAAGGATGAGGATGAAGGAGATCATCCCGACCGACGTCTAGATCTCGATTGTGATCCATGGAAGGACGAGGAGAGAGGGGCGGGGCGGAAGCGACAACTTTGGCTTCCTCATGTTCCAGAGGGTTCGGCAGGGGAGGGGAGGGACAGAAGCGGGGCCCGTCGAGGGCGGTGGAGGAAGACGAGGCGGGGTCGAAGCGGATGATGAATTGGGCAGGGGGAGCGGGGAGGAGATCGAGAGTATGGGAGTTGCGGCCGACAGCGCTGTCGTGGATAGCCGCTGGCGGAAGATGGAGAGCTCGGTTCGGGTCGAGCTTCGATGACCGGCCGACTCCGAAATCGGGGTCGCCTTGGTATTCTTCTTCTTGTTCTTCTGCTTCGAAGACTAAGGGCGGCGCCGAGGGCGCCAACGCTTGACTTCCGCCGCTCCTCGCCATCCCATCCTCGGTCCGCTCGGCCAGATCCTCCTCCACATCCGTCGAGCTCTCTTCGTTCTCCGTTCCTTCGGTTGCGCGCTCGGGCAGCTCCTCTTTCTCGCCCCGTGCCCGACTGCCCATGGCCGGAGTAGAGCCCATCCGCAAGAGAGACCTCAGGACCAATTTATCATCCGTCGCAACATGGGCCACAAAGGGAGCCGGATTGAGGTCCGAGTGAAGCCGGGAGTCTGTGGCCTGCTGGTTTTCGTCCTCTGAGTCTACCACCAGCGGTCCTTGATGATCCTCGAGATCCTGATGCCGATCGACCGGACTTGACATCCGCTGTTTCTCAAACGCCCGACTACCCTCGGCTGTCCCAGGAGTGTTAGCTCGTCCAGAGTAAGCGGGGGGCAAGGGGTCGACGATGCTATCGGCGGGATGGTTGGCGAGCGTTTGGGCGAGCGGCGTTCTTGAGACCGTCGAGGGCTGGATGGATTGACTGCGAGTCCGGGCAACAGGGTCGGGAAGGGTTCGAGGATCGAAGACCTCGAGTGGCAAGGGAGGAACCGAGAAGTGGAGGTCGGGGAGTGATGTAGGTGAGCTGGCGGACAATGGGCCTGGATGGGATGAGGTTGTCGAACTGCGTGCCCGGATGATCTCTCGACAGGAGCGGTAGTTCGGATTCACACTCGCCCGGCCCGCCTCTGGATGTCGAACCGGAACACTCACACATATCGGGTCGGCCGTCTGAATAGTGAGAACTGGCCGCTCCTCCAGCTCACCATCTGGATGTCGCCGTCGGCTCGTTGTTGGATGTCCTGGCTCAGAAGTCGCACTGGAATATGTCTGCGAAGGGACATGGTCTTCATATCTATTGGCTAGCTCGGATTCGCTTTGCATCGTTCGGATTGTTTCAGATGGTCCTGCTACCGATGAGTCAGATTCAGGAAGCGCTGGCGCAGGTGGTGGTTGAGCCGGTGTGAATGTAGAAACTAAGAGTAGAGGGGGAAGACAAAAAGATTAGTCAGCTCAAGCCACTTAGTAGAGGGAAAAAAAGAAGCAAACAAACCGTTGGAAGGTTTCCGATGAACGGGTACGCTCAAGAGGCCATTGACGGTTTGATGAGGAACAGACGAGTTGATCTCACTAGCCGGAGTTTCGTCGCTCTGAGATTCGGTGCGATGGGAGCGAGTTCGTCTGCGAGACAGACCCTCGCGTTCACCGGTGCAATGGAAGCTGCTATTTGAGTTGAAGCTGATTGACCTTCTGGCCTCGCCTACGATGATGAGAGAAGGGGGAGGAGGATCGTTTGGACTGCCGGTGAGGACGCTGATCCGACTGATCCGGGCCTGCTGTTTACCGCTGGGAGAGTGAAGGATTTTGATGAGGGTGAGTTTCTTGAGTTTCCGGTTGAGATGATGTTTGAGACGCTGGCGTGTTCCTCGTCCCTCTTCGATCTCGGCTGGACTGAGTAGTTTGCTACTAGGAGGGTTCTCTGGGTTGGAGTTGGGATCACTGGATGAGAGCAGTCCCTCTTTGAGTTGTGCACGCCGCCGTCCTCGGGCTCGTCGTCTAGTGACCAGACAGACTACAGTACTGAGTACGGCGACGGCGATGAGAAGACTAGCTACGACGATCACAGAGGTTGCATAGAGTGGTCCACGCTTGGAGGTATGGTTCCATCCGGCGGGTAGATATAGCTTTTGGTTGCTATTCGTCGGTGAGGATGAGTTGTTGACTGGGGTGGTGTCATACTGTAGGGAGGGTGAGCCATTAGCTGAAGAGGCATGATGGATCAGTGGGGATGAGGATAGGTTGGATTGGGCCTGGTTGGGTGCCTGGTCGAGTGAACGAGGACGATGGCGTTGGTTTGATCCTGATAGGCCGTACAGGTTCCACTGAATAGATGGGAGGACAGAGTGTGTTAGTAGATCTTTGTGTAGTAGTGGTGGTGAAGATGGACAGACGTTATCAGATAGTACCCAATGGCCGTTTAGGTTTTCATAGAATGAAGGGATTGGAGCCTTGATGTTGATGGGTACATATGGAATTTGCTGATGAAGGTGTTGCTGGGGTGGTGGTGGTGGTGGTGGTGGTTCAGGATGGCTCTTTGATGATTTTGATGAGGTGGTTGTGGGTTCGGTTGTTGTTGAGTGTCTGATTGGTTTCTTGTATGGATGGTTGAGGATGTGATCGAGTTGAAGGGGGTCTCTGAGTGCAGTTGTTGATGGGTTTGAGTTGAGTAGGCTGATGATTGGTCTTGGTGGTGGTAGTTTCTTTGGCATTTTAGTGTTGGTGGTGGTAGCATGGTCGATGGGTAGGTGGAAGTAGTAGTACTGTGCTTCTTGATGGCTAATCAGTAGGATCTCATCGGTCGTCGTAGTTGTTGTTGTTGTTGTTGGTGTTGGTGTTGATAGGATGAGTGCTGTTGTTCGATTAAGAGCCTTTCGAGCGTTGTTGGTGAGTTGTAGCTGATGAGATGGTGGTGGTGGTACTGCTGCTGTTGCTGTTGTGGTCATTGGGATGTGGATGCATCCTGCTCTGGATTTTCCTCGGCTGGGGGTAATCGGTCGGAGTTTGACTCACTCATTTCAACACTTTCATCAGTTCACTGAGCTCTGTTTAAGCGGAAGAGTATACTGATACCCTCACACATCATTCCATACAGATAATCAATCATCCCTGAACCATCCTCAACACAACCCGCAACTGCTAAAATCATGAATGTCTCTCACATATAACCATGAATCACCTAAACACTGTACACTTAACCCCCCCCCCCCCCTGACCCAAAGCCATCAACCAACAATATTGGTCAGCAATGGAAAATTAGATTGGTTGAGTTCTGCAGCAAACATTTCCTCAAAGAAAGATTTAACAAAATCAAATAAAAACAACTTCCTTACATCAAAACATCTGAATCAAGCAACTAGTGGTCTGGTTCTTCCAGGGCAAAAATACCCAACTGAAGAAAAAGAAAGCATAAACTGAACCCCCCCCCAAAAAAAAAAACCTATGTGGGAGGAGGCACTGATCAGAATTGAAGTGGGGCAGCTATACTCATTCAACTCAGATCACCCATTTATTTGACAAGGAGGGCAGATAGTGGACCTCTGAATAATTATATTGGCCAGAAAACAGCACAACACCAAAAACACAGGGAGAAATCATGCAAGGGTGAAGGAACTTTCAAACGAAAATCAGAAGATTGTAATATGACTTGCGGGCGCCCAAAGTAAGGCTGTTCTTCTGACACTCTAATCCTGGAATTTGAAATACATCAGGACCTTTCATACTGGGATACTCTAACCAATTTCAAATGTTACATATTTAATGTGTTTTTGAGATTCAAACTTTTGTGGCTGAAATCTTCTATGTTTGACTAGTACATGCCCCCATTTTTGGGGAGTCTTGGTTGGTAATTTTATTTTCCACAATTTTTTTTAATTGGGTGATTACTGCGTGATTACTTGATGACCTATGTATTGGGGTTTTCTTGAGTTGCACACCTGTCTGTCTTGGTCTAACGCCGGCATTGACAAAAGTGACAAATGTGAATTGGAGTTTGACACCAGCGTTAGATTGCATGACAGTTTGTTTGGCTCTCTAAGCCTATTTTTTTAGTTATATGTAGATATTTTCAAAACTGATAAAAATTCACATGTTTCTTTGGATATCAATCTATCTATTTATAACAATTACTGAACAACTTAAAATCATATTCAGGAGCCAACAAGTTGAACACTGAAGAGGTATCTTGAATCTCTAGACATAGAAGTAACCATATAGTTCTTGGAAGAACTTGATTTTAGTTCTCAAATGCTTGATTTTATGTTGTACCTGCTGGGGAAAACAAAACTCATTGATGGGATCATGATTGTATGCAAATCTGAGGAAATCATGATATCTTTGGAATTTGATTTTTATTTCATTTTCAATGAGCCACAGTTCTTCAACCTTGGACTTGTGGTCCAGTCTATTCAACTTCCAAATCCTCTCAAACTCCTGAGACTGTCTTTTGCTTTTAGAAAATCGATGGAACAGATAATGATCAATATGGTCCAATTCTTCAATCAAATCAATTCCAAAATATCCCAGTCTCATTTTTTTGTGAAACAAATTGGCTGGCTGTTCATTTCCAAGATTAATATGCCCATAATTCTCCAAAATCAACTCCAAAACTTGATGCAGAATGATGAAATGTTCCTTCTCTTCTTCAGTTTCCTCATGGTTTTGGATTTCCATGAAGAGAATTTGAATTTTGAGTAGGGCATCTTTCATCTCAATGAAATATGGATTTTCTTTGTGGAAATCCTCCATGGCTTCCTTAGAAGCTGGAAGATAGAAATACTTTTCAAGTGTGTTGAAAGCTATCTTATCTTTGAAAAGCACTTCAAACAAACACGAAAGCTTATGTTCAAAGTTCTTATATTGATAATCTTCTACTTTCTTCACATGGTTTTCATAGTGGTATAGGTAGATGAGTTTGTGACAAACATAGGAAAATCTTCTCTGATATGGGTAATCAAGTTCTTATGTTGCAAAATTCAAAATACATTGTATTCAGTATAAGAAACATGGCAAACAATTGACATTTGTGAGAGTTTTTCTTTGCTTACCTTCAAACATGTTTTTAGCATGTGCTGAATACCAGCTATTGAGTATTGATTTTACTGCAACTTGTCTCTTCTGCCACTGTGTTTTGATGAGAAACATGACAATCATATTGATTGCAGCAACCTCCAGTGTATCATCCTTTTTGAAGAATTCAATAAAATTTTCTTTATTGATCCACTCTTTCTGGAACATGTAGTCCACTGTTTGAAGAACAAGCCTTTGGAGCTCCAGGGATTTCACATTCAAATGATTCTCAATATCAATTTTAATCTCTACATCAAATGGAGCAACTTGATGCAATATGTCATTTAACTGCTTGACCCAATATTTTCCCATCCGATCTCTGTGATAATTGTCTTGATTGGACCAATTCAATTCTGTCTTTTCAAGTGATAAATTCAACCTATGTGAAGTAATATCAATTTTTTGTTTCCAGGGTTATCAAAAGGTATTATGAAAAAAATTCACCTACATCTTTCTCCCAGAAATGCTCAATGGGTTTTCTTGAACAACACTTAATGGCAAATCTTTGATATCCTCTAACATGAGTGTGTGAATCATCTTCAATTCTTCAGCTCCTTCAAGTAACTCTTGAGCAGCTTCAGGGTGATTTCCTTTCAGTTTATAGGTATCCTCTATAAACATCACCAGCCTTTCCCTCAGAAACTCCAGATCTTCCTTTGAATTCTGTACTTCATCTACATAGTTCTTTCAAGTTTCAGATCTTCTTGAAAAGAATGTTGGATTGACCAGAAAAACTTGAATAATGAAACTTACTTTCGTTAGGAGCCATAGATTCCGCAAGTCCTGCTATTTCGGGTAATCAATGATGTAACTATCATCTTCAAATTTCCGAGACTTTTGCCGTTAAGGTTTAATCCATGCTCACCTTTTTTGTGATGTTCCTTCTCATTTTGACCCTCACCCCGGCTTTCGGATGATTCTTCTTCTTCGCGATAGGCATAAGGCGATTCATATCCCCGGATTGAATGATCATCTTCCTCCGATGAATAATCATGGACTGGTTCTTGCTTCCAAATCATGATATCGGCCCACCTTCCAGGCACCCGGGAAGTGAAAAGATGGTTTGAAGTCATAACCTCATCATGTAACCTTTTCATCATGGTATCCGCGGTTTCTAGGGAATTTTTAAAGTGAAGAACAGGGCCAGGAATCAGTCTGCCAGCTTGGGATCACATCTTCCAGAAGCAGGACCAGTCTTCATACCTGGTCTCTCCCAAGTGAGGAAAAAGTCATCATTCATCAACATGGATTGAGTTATTTGCAAACAGTGTATAGCTAGCCATACTGTCCTTTGGTAGCCCGTCAAGACTGCCATTGCAGGTGAGGAAAAAAGGATCTGTTTGATGGAGTTCTTTCAGAAGGAAGGAGCTGTTGAATTGAGCAGTTCTGTTCAAATTTGCTCCCAATCCCTGCTTGCAGGTGTTACTGGTGCTATATGTGAGGCATCCTCACGAGTCAGATTCCGCAGATCCTCAAGAAACGTCAAGTCGGGCCGTTGCGGGAGGCCGGCCGCAAGGACCAGCGCCGTTGTCACACAGCAAGCCCCCAGCCCCACCAAGGGCACTTGGGCTCAGTTTGCAAATACCCAGTATCTTTGCGGGCTCCTAAGACAAAATCTCGAGAGTCACAGCGAAGCCATTTTGTGATAAGCATGCTACGGTATTCCCGCAGGCGATTTGAAAGCTGGACAAAATCTAGAGTTCAACGATGCCCAACCTCGCAGGTAAAACCCAGGACATGATCAGCTTATTTACCAAGTATTGGAAGCCAAACATAAATAACATCCAATGTGCCGCAATTTTGACTGTATCTGCTGGATTGAAGTCATGTTTTGGCTCAGGTACAATGTCAGGGGGGTTTATTTATGAAATAAGATTGGGTTTTTGTATTCTACACAGAAACTGAAGCACTAGAGGGGTTTGTTGTTGAAATTCTAGCGAGGGCAGTTTCTGCACGAGGTGCGATGATGACAGTGCGTGGCACTAATGGTGAAGAGTCTGACTATCGAAGTCAGTGACTGTGTTGGATGAGATAGGCAGAAGTATGTAATTCCGTAAAGCATGAGAGAGAAAAGAAGAGAAACAAAACAGTTGACAGGCAGCAGTCTTATAAGTACAAATATTTGGTTATACCTTTGTTGGCATATAGATAAAGGAAAACAGAGCACGCGTGATTTGAGTAAATGAGAAAACATAGGGAGAAGAAATAAACATTAACAATAACAATGAACAGATCAGTTCTTGAACGGGTTTTTGTTTGTGTGTTGAGTCTGAGAAACTGAGGCTGATTTTGGTCTGATTGAGAGTGAATGTTGAGTCAGTAAGAGCAGTTTTGAGTTGAGGGATCATCGATGTGAAAATGGAGATGGCGCGGAGTGTGTGGATAGTTCTGAGTATGAGAAAGGACTGAGGAAGTACCTGACTTCCGAACTGTGTTTGTAACAGCCCCCCCTGCTCAGGATTATTCGGGTAATTCACGGAGAGCGACGTTTTTGAAGATCTTTCGGCAACGATCGATGACAATGGCCCCCGCGTTTTTAGTGAGCATGTCAGCAGGCATGGATTTGGTATCGATATGACGGGTTTGAATTTTCTTGTCTTTGACTAGTTCACGGATGAAGTGATAGCGTATATCGATGTGTTTGGAACGTTGGTTGATTGCGGATTCTTGGGAGAGGAATATCGCTCCATTGTTGTCGTTGAAAAGTTCCATGTCGGTAATGACGTCAGCGGATTCCATTGATGTTTGGGTGACTAAACTAATCATTCTTCTCATCCATAAGAGATGTTTTGCAGCATCGGATATAGCCATGTATTCGGCTTCGGTGGTGGAGAGAGCTACCGTGCGTTGTCTTTTGCTCTTCCATGAGATGAGACATCCGCGCCACATAATGCCATGGCCCGTGGTGGAGCGACGAGTGATGATGCAAGAGTCGTAGTCGGCGTCGGTATAGGCTGTGATTTTGTTTTTGGATGCTTTGTCGTCTTTTTCAAATACAATACCCCTGTCCAAGGTGCCTTTGACGTAGCGCAAAAGATGTTTGACAGCAGTCCAGTGTGTTCGATCGTAGCAAGCGGAAAAACGGGCAAGATAATTCACGGCGTACTGTATGTCTGGACGGGTGCATATCGCGGCGTAGGACAAACATCCGATGGCTTGTTGGAAGGGTAAAGTGTTGTTGGTTACGGTGGCTTTTTCGAGAGAGATGTTGTTAGGGAGAGGTGTGGTATTGATGTTCGAGTCTTGCATCTCGAAACGTTTTAAGACCTCCTTCAAGTAGTGTTCTTGTGACACCATGAGTCGGTGATTTGGACGATCGCGAGTGATTTTGAGTCCAAGATGTAAGGACGGATTGTCGTTCCATTTTAATGAGTAGCATTTCTTGAATTCGTCCTTGAATTTCGCCATCATTTCCTTTGAGTTCGAGAAAACTAAGCCGTCGTCTACGTGCATGTGTATGTAGATGAAGTGGTCACCATCACGTCGAATGTAGAGAGAGTCATCGTCGAAAGTGCTGGTGAATTGAAGATTCAAAAGTTTTTCCTTTAGGTCCGCATTGAATTGTCGGTGAGCCTGACGAGTACCGTATAAAGATTGGTCGAGTCGAATAACTCTGTTGGGGTGAGTTGGATCCTCGAACCCGGTTACCTGTTGGATGTAGACAGAGTGTTCCATCCGGCCGTTTAAGAACGCAGTGGCAATGTCGAATTGCTCCATCTCAAGGTCTTCGTTCGCGGTGAGAGCGAATAATATGCGGAGAGTGTCGGATATCCCAACTGAGGCGTAGGTCTGGTCAAAGTCAATCCCTGGGATTTGGTGATTGCCGAACGCCACCCAGCGAGCCTTGTATTTGATTATTTCGCCGAATTGGTCTCGTTTGATCTTGAGTCGCCACATTCCCCCGATTTGGTGTCCATTCGGCGGGAGTTCAACTAGTTCGCCGACGTTGTGTTGGACAAGAGAATTGAATTCAGCCTGCATTGCTTCGATCCATTTGTCACGGTCTTCAGACGCCATAGCCTGCCGGTAGGATGGTTCATCGGGATTGAATTGCGTCATGTGGGCTACTGGATTTCCGTAAAAATCAGGTCTTCCACAACTTCTGGTGGGTCGAGATTGAGCGATGGATGTGGTGGTGGGGAGTTGTGTGGTGGTTGGATTGTGAGACTGAGATGAGTTTCCGGGACTTCCTTGGTTTGGTGTAAGGTCCTCCCTTTGTTCCCCTTGTTCCGTTGTCGGATTCTCTATCACCGTTTCTGTGACATTGGTTGTGACATTGGCAGGGTTGATGAGTGCATCAATTGAGTCGAAGTCAAATTGGATGTCATTGGTGTCGTGAGGTGTCACAGAGTAAGGAAAATGGGTTTCGTTAAACACAGCATTTCGGGATGTTATGACCTTTTTGGTGTGTGGGTCCAGTAGACGGTAGGCCTTGGAAATGGCGTCATAACCAATCATGACAAGTTCGGAAGCCTTGGATGATAGTTTGTCCCTTTTTTCAATCCTAATGTAGGCTCTGCAGCCAATGATGCGTAGAAATGAGTAGTCGAATTTCTGGTGTGACCCTTTTGGATCGCTGTGATGCATCCATAGTCTGTGAGGGTTATCGGACTTTAGGGTTGAAGAGGGGGCAATGTTGATTAGTAGTGAAGCTGTTATTGCCACTTCACCCCAGAGCCATTTTGGTAGACAACCGGCGCTCATTATTGCTAGCATTTTCTGTATCAGAGTTTTGTTATATCTCTCAGCAACACCGTTCTGTTGTGGGGTGTTTGCGGGAGCTTGCTCAATAGAAATGCCCTTAGATTTTGTGTATGCTACGAAGTCATTTGAGTTATATTCTCCTCCTCGATCAGTGTGTAATATAGAGACTTTGAGATTGGAACCAGACATGATATTCTCGGAGAATGTTACAAATTCTTTGAATCGTGACAAAGTTTCAGATTTCCTTTTGAGTAAGTAGATTTTAGAGAAACGAGTACAACAGTCGATAAATGTGAGAATGTAACGGAAACCATTGTTGGTGGCAATGGGCATGGGACCCATGATATCAGAGTGTATTCGGTATAGCGGTCGAGATGATATGGGAAGGGACGATGAGAAAGGCTTTCGTTGGATTTTCCCTTTTACACAGTGTTCACAAAAAGAGGGCTTGTCGGGGAGTTTACCTCCATCCATGCGGTACTGTCGATGGGCACCTGTCGAAGGATGACCAAACCGAGCATGCCATACATTAGCGCAAAGGCCGATGATGTCCGAAGATTGTGGTTTGAGAATACTAACCGTCCATAATTCCTTGCCAAGCGTGACCGAGGTGATGTGTACGTCTTCATTTTTAAACTCAATAGTCATAGTGTTGTTAAGGAAGGATACTTCGGCACCGGACTTGATGATCTGTTTGATGGATAGAAGGTTTGCCGCAAGTTCTGGACAGTAGAAGACGTTAGGGATATCTATGGAGACCTTTTGATCCAAGTGGTTTCGTGCAAGGACGCGCACGCTCCCTTTTATGTCGACTCGTACCTGCGTATCAGATTTTGCAGTGTTGATTAGTCGGGGTTCACACTTTTCCGGATTGATGAGCATGTTATAATCGTTGATCAGGTGGATGCTGGCTCCGGAGTCAGCGATGAATTGACCGGTGAATGAGTAGTAATCTAAATCGGGATTGTGGACTACGACATAGGCGTTTTCGATCATGAGTGACGCTAGGTCAGGAGTGGTGTCAGTTTGATCTTCCAATGCTTCGGTCGCAGCATTGGCCGATGGGAATCGGGCGGTGTTTGCAGCAGTTTTCGGTCCGGTTTTCTTTTGTGCATTGCATTCGGCATTGGTATGTGAGCTGAACTTGTGGATGGTGCATCTGTCGACTTTGCTGTTGTTGGCTTGGCTGTTTGTCTTGGTTTTCTTGAAGCCGTACATCGCGGTTTCCTTGGCCGTGGAGCTCTTAACCATCGCGGCTTCGGAATTTAATCGACTGATGACCTGCTTGACACTGACCGATTTGTTAGAGAATAGAGACTGGATGATGTGTCGAAATTCATCCATTGGGAGGTTGATAATCATGAATATAGCGAGTACGTTGTCCGGCAATTGAAAGGCTTCGTTGTCCTTGGTCATATCATTTAGTCGGTTATGGAGAGCGCGAATCTGGGAGATGTAATCGTCCAGAGATGATGTGTCTTCAAAGCGTAAATGAACGATGTCTGCAATGGTACTGGCGATCATGAATGCATCGTTGCTGCCGTGCTTTTCTTCAAGGGCTTTGAATGCGCAGTGCGGATCGTCGAAATGAATTATGGCTGATCGATTCTCTTTGTTGATGGTTAACCGGATCGCTTGAAGAACTTGGGCGCGTTCCTGGACGAATGTCTCTGCAGCGGCATCGTCGTCTGGTCTGGCTACTTCACTTTTAATGTATTTGAGTTTTCCCATCGCAGTGAGATGGCCAGTGATCGTTCTCTTCCATTCGAAAAAATTAGTGTCTTCGAGCTTTGGAATCAAGTTTATGGAGGGGTTGAGGGGATTCAAGGTGTTGTTGGCCATTTCGTCGAGTGAAAGGATGGCGTGTGGCGTTCAGAGACCAAGTTCGATCTTAGCGTTGATGAGCTCCTTACAACTGTTGAGTTGATTTTCGAGAGAGTCGATCCTTGCGGTAAGAGTGGCGAATAGATTTCGGAGGATGAAGTATAGTGTGATTAGGACTGTAGTGTAGAAGATTTTCAAGCAGTAGTTGAATAGAGTTACAGCTGGGCTCATAACCTCTAGCGAGGGCAGTTTCTGCACGAGGTGCGATGATGACAGTGCGTGGCACTAATGGTGAAGAGTCTGACTATCGAAGTCAGTGACTGTGTTGGATGAGATAGGCAGAAGTATGTAATTCCGTAAAGCATGAGAGAGAAAAGAAGAGAAACAAAACAGTCGACAGGCAGCAGTCTTATAAGTACAAATATTTGGTTATACCTTTGTTGGCATATAGATAAAGGAAAACAGAGCACGCGTGATTTGAGTAAATGAGAAAACATAGGGAGAAGAAATAAACATTAACAATAACAATGAACAGATCAGTTCTTGAACGGGTTTTTGTTTGTGTGTTGAGTCTGAGAAACTGAGGCTGATTTTGGTCTGATTGAGAGTGAATGTTGAGTCAGTAAGAGCAGTTTTGAGTTGAGGGATCATCGATGTGAAAATGGAGATGGCGCGGAGTGTGTGGATAGTTCTGAGTATGAGAAAGGACTGAGGAAGTACCTGACTTCCGAACTGTGTTTGTAACAGAAATTCTTCAGTTTCAGTCAAACAACTTGGTTTTGGTGATGGTCACTCCTGATGCCATGAAGACATAAGAGAAATAATATGCTTGTCAAATTCAAATTTTTTATACCATGTGGGACAGGCCTGAAAATTTCCTGTGATGAATGTTTTGCAGTTGTAGGACCACAGCTGAATTGAGTAATCAAGACAGCAGGAAGTACAGCTAATCCCGGAATGCTTGTCAAAACTTCTTGGATTTTCCAGCTGAAATTTTGGCCTTGGATTTTCCTGAGCCTGCCAGATCAGGCTAAATCCATGCAAATTCAACTTCAAAGTTGGTCAGCAGATACACAGAATGATCAAATCTGATGACTATGTCTGGCCCACCAGTGTGCTTGGCTAAATACAGGCCCTGTAGCCGAGCAAACTAGGTTCCAGCACCTCAGAGGCTCAGCCCTAGCCGAGGGAGTGGTCACCTGTTTTCCCTCAGCTACGTCTCCCATTTGGCCGACCATCCCGTCAAGGTTTTCCGGTCCGGAGGTTGTCTGGCATGCCTTAATGGCCAGAATTGGCATATAATTCCATCCGCTTCCCCAAATTCCACCATCCAACTTGTTTCCCCCCATTCCAATTGGACGTCAACACTTGGAACCAACATTATTAATTGAATCATTAGTATTGAAATAGCTCATTTGAATTCTTGCTTGAACCCGACTTGAATTGTGTCTCTTCCCAATCACACTTGAAATATCAAGGTGCCAAAATTCTGGTGTTTTCCCGTGTCTGAAGATCTTTTAATTTGGTTGTGCAGAATTTAACGCATCAATGGTCAGTGTCAGTTTCTTGTATGTTCCTGGTATTGTAGTGTTATTATGGGCTGATTCTCAAACAAAATCCTTTGGATTGAGCAGGCACGTAGCCGCGTTCTTGCAGAGGAGACGCAGTACCAAGAATACGATGGCACCACGACCGAATCTGACAGCTCAGCGTCCAAGACTCATGTTCGCATCACGGCAGTTCATCTCGACTACATCTTGTTCATGGAAAATACGGCGTTAACTGCTGGCGGTAGCCAAGCAGCTGCACCCTCCCCTAACCAGGTGTGGTCTCGTATGGTGGCCAAGCCACCTCCACCTCCTTGGAAACAGAATCTGAAGGCTCTCACTAGGAGTCAATTTCAATCTGGTTTGATCGAACACCTTAGGCCGGTGGAGGATTACTTTGACCGCTTTCTCGAAAGGCAAAACTTGGCGGGACTGATTCATTGGATTGTGATGATATCGGGCAACTCCACATACAGTATCAAGAATGCTGTCGAGATCACATCACCGCAAGACTTCAAACTGTTTGTGAGGGAGGCCCTTCTCCGATTCCCTGCTAAGGTGATATTCCGATTGGAAATGAACGACCCCCGAGAAACCGAAAGGAGCTGATCATGAGTGAGTCACAATGCACTGGTATTCAGATTCACCAAGCTTGACGTTTTTTTGTTGTGGTTTCAGGGTAAAAAAAACTGTGACATTCTTCACATGCAGTTTGGTCCTCCGGAGGTTCGAGCTACCCTTGAACGCCATCATAAACGACGACAAATAAATGTAAGCAGTTTCCTCTTTTTCAACTTTCTGGTACGGTGGCTGATGAGTCATTTGGTTTTCAGCCAAAGGCGGACGATGCAGGGGGTGAAGCACTCCTCAATATGGTCGCGGACGTTCAAGAGAGCATCCGCTTGAATTCTGGCGGCAATGGCTCGGAATACCCTTCGTTCGTGAATCCCGAAGATCCGTCAATGGAGATGCGAGTGCTCTACAAGGAGATTTGGGATTGGGCTAAGGCAATCCTAGCGGAGGAGGATGGGGTAGATCTGACCCACCCACCAAAAGGTCCGAAATACCCCAAATTTCAATGGACCAAACGTCGGGGAAGTTGGAAGTCGATGTCAGTTAATCCTACATCGAACTCCAGAGCTATTGCATCCACCTCATCCACCTTGACCAGCTCGTCAAACCATGTGTCCCACCATGCCCCAACAAGCACCCGTACGGACAACCGACACTCAAGTCTAGCACCCTCAAGTAACCCAATTATTTCACTTCCCCCAAGTCCCGCCACATCAGCACTGAAGTGGAGGTGATGCCCACTTCCAATGAGTTTGTACCACTAACAAGTACCTACGATCCTCGCCAGGAAGATGGCTTTTGCATCCACTCACCCACTCCTTTTGACCCAACAACCAAGACCGATCAGTTGGATTGACTTCCAACTCCATTGGACTTGATGACCCCTGCTCCAGTGTCCCATCATGTAGGCTCCTTTGCAACTGTGGCCAAGAATCGATTGTATCCTCCTTTTTTGGGTCAAGGCCCCCCCACTTCAGTCAATCCCGCCGCCGGTCAAACTCTTTCTTGCCCAGTTAGTTCCACCCCAGCCTGGATCCCACAACCTGCTGTTGTCATGAACACCAGTCCAATCCCTGTGGCTTCAGACAACCCAATTATCCCTCGTGCAGCTGCAAACCAACATTCTTGTCCCCCTATCTCCCCATCGATGGAGGCGGTGACCATGGATCAGTACTTGGAAATTGCGCGAATCAAACCCGGCAACGATCTCACCCGAGGCAGACTCATGATGCTAGGCATCACTCACTGGTCATTTTTCCGCTCAACATCATTCGAAGCTCTTGTGGGCTACGGATTCCCACCTGGAACGGCCTACCTGCTTTCTGAGGGGGTAGCCAGACTCGAAGATCACTTCAATTGGGTGATTTGATTTTCCAGACTCCCTGTTTTAAATCTCTTCTATCAGTCGAATGTCTCTTCCTCATTATTATTGTTTGACCAAAAAACATAAAAAACATAAAAAACATAAAAAACATCAAAAAACATAAAAAACATAACTAAAAACAAAAAAAAGCATGAAAAACAATTAAAGCATGAAAAAAAACCTCGCGACTGTTTTGAATTGAAAAGACTCCGATTAGCTGTACTGATAACACTCCGATTAGCTGTACTGATGTAAACGGTTAACTAAAGACCGATTCCAATGGCTTCCTCCTATACTCATTTTTCCTTCCTCACCGTCCTCTTGTTTTTTTTTCCTCTTCTTCCTTGGATGGATGAAGCTTTCACTGCGATGCACTGATAGCAAAGTTGTAAAATTTCTCAATATGACACAGTGTTGTCACCCTTAGCTGTATCATCCTTGGTCTACACTGTGCTGTAATCAACCTGGATGAATTAACCTTAGACTGTGAGCAAATCGAGTGACACCCATCTCAGAGATGAGATGCAAATCAATCGTTGGCTTAGTAAATATTTCATCAAAGGTAAGAATCGATCATTCTGTTTGCTTGTTGTATTCTGATCAAAGAGACCTAGTCACCGACTCTCAAGCCCCATGTAGAGAGATGTAGAGAGAGAGGTCCTTATAATCAAAATCAATGATTGCCTTCACAAACGATAATCCCCTTATCCTACTTCATACCACACTGTTCCAAGAATCCATCAGCATTAGCTCCGGTCAATCCAAACCATCTTCTGTGACATCGACAAATTTGTTACTCAAGTCATTGGCATCTTGGGTGCATCAATTTTCTTGAGGAATTGAGTCGCAAACTCATACAACTCTTAAGTGAATAAAACTGCTCGGAATTGCTTTATATCAATTCCAGATAGACATAGAAAAAAGCTAACACTGTAGCAAATCTAGAGCATATAAAATGAAATGCCAACACAGTAGCAAAGACAATAAAATTGAGAATGAAAAATCGTTTGTGCTTGAGCCAAGAGCTACAATAACTAGACAAACTGATGCAGAGCTGAAGGATGATCAGTGGAGAAACTACACATAACCACAACCTCGGAACTCGGCCCGCATTAACTCAGGTGTGACTAAATCGCCAACGTAATCCTTAATGATTTCTGCATCTTCATCGGTTCCCTTTAAGATGCGGTCTCGTCGCAAGTTTGACTTGACCACCAAAAAAACTTTTTTGATTGGGTTAAAGTCTGGAGAATATGTGGGGAGATGAATGAGCAGAACATGCACAGCAATGCATATCTCTGCCACCTGACCATTGTGATGTATTGAGGTGTTGTCCAAAACGAGCACACTATTACGACCGGGGAAGGGATTCATTGCAGGAAGCTGGTATGCCCCAACCCATTAATAAGCAATCAAAACACCCAGATTGGCATAGCTGTTGTCAAGTTACTCACCAGCACTTGCTCAAGGAAGAACTCAAAATCGGGTCGCTGAATTGAGCCTGGCTGTGCAATCATACCGAGTATGCCATCCAAAGACACGGCAGGCAAGAGCGAGAGTCGGGTGGCATCATTGCGTCGAGGGACACGTTCAGTACGTTCGCCTTGAGGGGCCCAGCCTTTGTTGTGCATCAATGCATCTCTGCAAATTGCCGACTCATCTGCAACCACACGAAGCAGAAATAAATAGATCAATCAGTTATTTGATTTACAGTTTGTTTTTTTGCTTGAAGTCCAAGTACATACCGGTAAAAACAAGGAACTCAGGCGGAAAGTTGGCAATTTTGCAGAAGTATGCAGCTCGCTTGAGGGGACACTGACCCGGGTGCACAGTGCGAGCAACCTTGTGGGTGAGATTGAGTCTGAGATGGAGGTCACGATGGATGGTTGCTCGGCTGACAGGGAATCCTGAGTGCTCTTCCAGGGCTCGTTGGATTTCATCAAGATACAGTGTTGGGTCGCCTCGAAGGATGTCTAGTATGAATTCTCGCTCTTCGGAAGTAATGAGGAGTGGTGCGCCTCGCTGTTCATAAAGGGCTGGATCACGAACAACGCTGGAGGTAGCAATAAATAAATCTGACCATCGTCTAAAGGACCGGGCCAATATATCTGCCTCAACTAGATTATTGATGTCCTCGATCGAGATGTTTCGCATGTACAGCTTTACGGCCAGAGCCTTAACCTCCGGCAAATAATAAACGTACACCATCCCAGAAGACTGGGGGGAAATCAGGAAGTGTGTGTTAGATACAAACCCTATCAAGACTTACTATTTAGTAGGGGATTATAAATCACTAACCTCGGTGTTCAGAAAAACTGCAAAGGGGTTAAAATGAAGGATTACTGTCCCCTCAAACACAAAATAAATAGAGAATGAGGAGTTCAAAAAAGAGGGGAAATGATTGAGGGGGGGGGGGATCCGGGTGTCTGGGTGGTTTGTGAGCCTTCCGACCGGCAAAACTATGACGGGGTACTTGGCCGAATGGCTGACCGCTACCTTGGCTAGTGCTCAGGTGCTGTAACCTTGTGTGCTCAGCTACAGGGTCTGCTTGCAGACATAGTCATCAGAGTTGGTCAGTCTGTGTATCCGCTGACCAACTTTGAAGTTGAATTTGCATGGATTTAGCCTGATCTGGCAGGCTCAGGAAAATCCAAGGCCAAAATTTCAGCTGGAAAATCCAAGAAGTTTTGACAAGCATTCTGGGATTAGCTGTATGTGCTCAAAGTGATATCTGTGTGAAAAATGGACTGAAGGCCATGCACTGTGTAGGGTTCCGATCCGGGCCTCCGGGTTTGGGTATCGCCTTTCCAAGATCCGAACCCGGCATATCCGGCTCCGACGCCGGGTACCCGACGGATCTGAGCCTCCAGCCCAAACTTCACCAAGCGGTTTGGGAGAGCCCAAAACTAACTTTTGATTTTGAAAAAAAAGAAAAATCATGAAAAAAGGGTCCAAAACCCCCAAAAACCCCGGATTTCTGCCATAAAGGGCGGAATTTTAGGCACAAAAATACCCAATCGGATACCGGGTATGTCTAGAGTCATCCCGTGACCCGATTGACCCGGTACCCGGTCGGGTAGTGCCGGATCTTCGGGGTCCGGATCAGAGCCCTAACACTGTGTACACAAAATCAATCATGGAGTCACTTTGCCTCTGCATGCAGATTTTCTGCGATTTTTTTTTTCCAGGCTTGGTATGTAACCCAATTAAATAACATTAATTGATTTTCCACATAGTAGCCCGGTTCACATTTCACACTTTCCACTGCTAACTTGTAATAAACTTTCTGCTTGCTGATTTCAAAACTCTGTCCAAATTTGCACTGGCAGCGGGCTAATTTTAAGTGTGAGATCTCAATTCCCTCTGCTAACTTCAAATAAAAAATTTGCTCAAAAATTTGAAATGTGAACCGTCCTAGTGAGTGAGGATCCAGAACTTGCTCCCTTCCAGCAGGAATCAGACACTCCCCACAAACAGAGGAGCGAAATGTTTTTTTTCAAACCTTACACCCCATCCAAAGTTTTTCAAATGGGCTGTATACTCCAAAATGGTACACACCAAACCAGGTGTTATTCAGATTGTAACTATCAAAGGAACTGTGATAACAGTGTCATAAAAGGCCACCCAAAAATTCCTTGTGCACATGCAATGATGTACCCCCCCCCCAGACTGCTGACTCTATGACAAGGTAGCCAATTAAGAACAGAAACCTCCATATGCCTTTTCTTTGTGCTTGTTTTCACATTGCTCAATTTTGGGTTTCTAGATCAAATATGTACTCACCTTTACAACTTGCTTGCATTGTGCTAACTTTTATATATGAATTTAGGGATGCATATTGGGTCAGAAACCCAGGAGGCCAACCAAACCTGCAGTTTGAGTTGAGTGTGGACAGAAGATATGGAAGCCTCTTGCTTTTAAGGCCAGTCAACTGGATGTAGACTTCATTTTGAGCTGGCTAGGGATGCCTGACCAGAATCAATATTCAATTAACTTTGGTGGAAGGGGAGTCTTTTGCAAGCCAGAACATGTCTTCTATGAGTAGATTCCATGGTTTATGTTCTCCTTTCTTTTTGTTTAATTCTCTAGTTCTATGTCCACCACATGAATATTGTAACTTCAAGCAACAACCAATAGGGATTTTTTTTTCTTATCCTATCTGTTTGCATCTGATATAGTACATGAGTTGGTTTATTTTCTTGCCTCTCTCATTCCATCCACTATGTGACTACCAAAAACTCAACTTCATTAATAATGACTTCAAAACTCAATTTTCATATATTTAAACAAAAGGTTTGGTTAATGAGACCTGTTGGAAACCCAAATGCAGCATGTCAGCTAGCTGTGCAAGCAGGGCAGATGATCAAGTCAAACCACTCAAAAAACTGGTGGGTCCTTGCCGGTTAGCCCAAGCCCTATGTCCCCTCACTCAAGCTCAAAAAACCTTTCCAATCATGTCTAGAAATAGTATCATCTGACAGTCTCTTATATTCATCTCCAGAAAAAGAAATAACTAATTCTACTTTTGGAAGTGGAAGATGGTTTGGCTTGCACTGACAAAAACTCACAAGCTGATAATGTGGAAAATATAGTACTTGTCTTACAGCCCGAATCACAAAGCACAGCCCAGAATGAGGAAAATGAGTTGGTGGAAGAAGAGACTCAAGAAGTGATGCATCTTGTCCAAATATTTTCAAACATAAATAGGTTCAGAAAAAACAACTTGCCATGTGGTCAAGAAACCACTAAGAATGGTTATATCTATTGGGCCTGACTCTAAGGGAACTCAAATGTTGGTTTGGACCTGGAGGCTGGGTTGTACATGGTGATCAAAAACCATAGGCAAAAACACCAATCCAGACTAGGACCAGGGTGTGTTCCATCTGTCCCCCCAAATAGGCCACTCCCCAGTGTTCCTTGATTTGTGAATTCCTGCAATGGTGGGCCACAAGTTACAGCTAACCATACAACTAACAAAAGTTACAGATTGAATACTTCAGTTATCCACAAGAATTGAATCATCATGGAAAATCCAGTTTTTCCGGTTTGTTGTTGTAGTGCACCCTGGGGGTTTCTTCGGTCCTCTCCCCGGGCTGCCTTCCGCGGTGGAGACACTCCAAGTTAGTCAGAACCACTTTACAGTGTCGTTAAAGTTACATACAGACTGTAATCTACCGAAAGCAGCTACAGACAAAATTATTGAGCTCACCTTGGACCCACAAGCGGTCAGATCTCTCCGGATCCCAGCATCAGTAAACAGAACATCGTCAGCGTCTTTGAATCGTCTACCTTACCTTCCTCCGCCATGTCCAAATACTCACTCTCTTACCCCAGCACGGATGTCACGACCCGGCTTGTTGTCGAAGTGTTTCTTAAACCCTTGGGTTCTATCGTCAAAGTCGAAGAGAGTTCTGAGGTGAAGATCGATTTCTGTCGAGGCAGCTCACTACAAATATTTACATCAATTTGTTGGGCTTAACATTGACATATGTTTTCTTTTCTTGTTTTTTTTTTGAAAAAAAAAATCATCCAATCGAGATTATTGTTTAGCTCAGCCTTCAACAACATGATGTCTCCACTACCCATACACAATTGCCGGCAGTCCTCCGATCCTTGTCCACCGATTGTAAAACGCTCTTGGCTGACTCTGACGAGGAAAAGGAAACAGGCTTGAGTTGGGTCGAGAGACTGACCTCTTTGAATGCGAAACCTGATAGCCCCAAATTGAAAGTGGGTCGTGTCTTGAATTCTTCCTCTCTCGTTGTGCCACTTCAACCGAGAGATAGTTGACTTATTCATCAACCGATTTCCTTGATTTTTAGGAATTAGATGATTACTTGCAATCACGCACTTTCATGATCGGCACCAAACTGAGTGCTGTTGATATCGTGGCGTATACCAATTTACATTCTTACATGGTAAGTGACTTAATGCTCGTTTTAAAAAAAGTCAGATTTCTTGTGAGCCTATGTACCAAAATACACGACTTCAATAATCTTCTTGCCAACTTTTTAGAGCTCAGCCAGTCAGCAGGACAAGTTACAACATCCCTCAGTTACCCGACACTTCGACTTTATCCAAAACATCAGCCCGGTCCGCCAAGCATCCGAGCAGGACCCAACGCTTGCACTCGTCCAAATTGATGTCACAGACGTGCCTGAGGTGGAGCGGAAAGCGGCAGTGCCCGAGAAGAAAGAGAAGAAGGCCAAGGCGTCGACGACAGATGAGCCAGCAGCCCAAAGCCATTCAAAAGCCCCCGCCCCCGCTTCCGGAGAGGGCAAGAAAGTAGCAGGAGGCGAGAAACAGAAGGCCAACCCTGAGAAGAAAGAGAAGAAGAAAGGCGGCGATGGCGGTGATAGTAAGAAGGCAGCCCCTGCTGCTGATGGACCTCCGATGCCACACATGATTGACATGCGCGTTGGAAAGATTATACATGGTAAGTTAGTCAGATGTATTTAGGAGGGGGGTGGCCGGATTTCTTTACGCATATCTGACCCGGCTCGATCTTCCACAGTCGAAAAGCATCCAGATGCGGATTCGCTCTATGTTGAGAAGATCGACTTTGGCGAGCCTGAGCCACGAACGGTGGTCAGTGGACTGGTCAACTACATCCCGATCGAGGAGATGCGCGATCGACTGTTGGTTGGGATCTGTAATCTCAAGCCAGCCAACATGAGGGGAGTCAAGAGTTTTGCCATGGTCCTGGCGGTCAGTGATTTTTCTTTCGTTCATGGAGACATCTCGCTCATATCTCGTCCAGGCATCTGAAACCATAAGAAAACCTTTCTCTTTCCCTCGACCGACTTGACCTGTCTTAATGATACACAGGCTACCTCGAAAGACGGTAAGGGTGGCCCGGGAAGCGTCGAGCTCGTCGCTCCTCCGCCTGGCTCGGAACCCGGTGACAGGATATACTTTGAAGGATTCGAGAATCACAACCCGATCGAGCAACTGAACCCCAAGAAAAAACAATTCGAGACCATCCAACCCAGTCAGTCCTTTTCTTGTTTTTCTCAACTCCATGTCCCATTTGATTTCCCTTACTGAGGAGAAAATTGGTTTGGAATGCTGTATTTTCCATAGACTTTACCACGTTGGATACTAAGGAGGCGTGTTGGACGGATCCTCATAATGAGCACAAAGCGCATCGGATCATGTCCTCTAAGGGAGTCTGTTGTGCCCCGACCTTTGTTGGTGCATCCTTGTCATGAGCAATCAAGATTCGACTTGGAGAAATCCTGCGCCTAATTTGTGTTGATTGATTGAAGTAGAGTGTGACTAAGACTGAGTCCTGTAATCAGTAGTACTTCTTCTCTTGTGACTGTGTCTTGGTAATCACTACGGCTTTCCCAGAATCACGTGTGCTTTTGAATGAGTCTCTTAGTCAGCTGCAATGATCGACTGAGGCTGACTGTGCCAGCGACTGATCGGGTGAAAAAGGGTGGCTGACTACGGCGAACACTCAAGTAGCCCAGTACATGCAAAAACTCATCATCATTGATCAGCCCTGATCGTGGGATAAGTTTTTTGTAAATTCATAGTTTTTTTTTTTTTTTTTTTTTTTTTTTCGAAACAACACACAAGGACTATGAGTATGTATATGGACTGTTGTGTGTACCATCTTCATAGGATCTGTTGTCTGTAGATCAAGCTTTTTCTCTGTCTTCACTTGGGTTTGTTGATGTGATGTTTCGATAATGTTAATTGCACAAGCTGATAGGATTACAAGTGACAAGAGCAGGAGGTTTTGGAATTTGTGGCTTTTTGGCTTGGGACTTTGATCAAGCGATCGCCGAGTTTGCCAAGTCCAACCAACCATGTCCCGACTGACTCCCCAACACCTCTCAACGATTCGGTCCTACCTCCGCCATCTGAGCCAGTTCCCAGACCCAATAACACGGTATGTTTTTAAACTCACATCCCAAACCCCTCCTCGCAGAATAACCTAATAGTGGAATCAAAATCGATCAAAACTGACTTTTCTTTTTCCAAAATTTCTTTCGCTTTGACGTGGTCGGATGGTCTTGATGTTGTTATAGGGCGTATCTCTTGAACTTGCTACATCAACGTTGTCGAAGACCTCATGGTTCAGATCCTCAAAGGCTGGAAAAACGAATCGAGAAGACAAAACATTTCATTGAAAGCGTAAGTTAATCTAGCAGAAAACCCCCAAGGAAAAGCTAATTAGGGTTGTGGAGACCAAGATAGTTGACATTTATTCGTTTTGATTTTCTCTAGGTTCGACTCAAGATAGCTGCCGCAAACTCGGGCCATGTGAACGTATACGAGACTTTACTAAAAGAAGCGTTTGCACGAGTTGGAGAGAGACGGAAGGAATTCATGCAAGTGAGCCCAACAATTGACAAATGAGAACAAATCTCAGAAGAGTGACAAACCGAAGTATATTTTTTTTCGCTCCAGCCATACTTGGAAATGGTTCCAGGGATCGCCAAAGAAGACCTACCGTATCCATCGTCCGAGTTCCCGACCTATTCGCCAGCTCTGGTGGCTCTGCTCAGCTGTCCAGATGCATATCCGGGACGAGGACGGCCGTCGATTGGCGACTTGCAATCGATCCCTCCAGGCACGCTGATCACCAATACCTGGTCCGACCTTCCTCCCGACCTGCAATCGCCCGCACCACCCAAGGCAGCACACATGGGAATGCTACATGAAGCCAGACAGATCAACAAACGGCGCTGGCTACGTGACCGCTGGTTGGCCGGTCTAATTGGCCCACCTCTCGCAGTCCCCCCTGAACTCGAAAGCTCACTACCTCCCAAGATCCTCGAACAATCCGCAAAGATGCTCTCCCAGTTAAAAAGCCGAGCTGCCGATGTCGGCCCTGCTGGTTCCCCGCGCTATGCCTCCGGTCCAAAACAGAAACCCAAGTCGACATTGGCTGAGACACCCAGATCCATCCCCACGCCTCTCATCCGAATCCCCCCTCAAATCCCCAAGTCACATCCCCTGAGCCCAACACCGGTCAAGATAGAATATGATCCACTCAGTGATCTCTTACCCAAAAGACAACAACATCCAACTCCTGGTCCTCCCCCCTTAGACCTTTCCCGAGGCCCGCGAAAACTGACCAAACGATTACCCGAGACGTCGCTACCAAAACGTCTTGAGCCAA